CCAACAAGAGTGAAGCTGGAGGCCTAATGAATGAATTAACGAGTATGACATATGATGTAGGTGGTGTTAGGGAATATATCCTTAGAATAGTTCATGTTCAAACTAAGCTCAAAGCCTTCAAAATTTTTATTCCTGATGATTTTATTGTTCATCACACTCTTAACTCTTTACCTCATGAGTTTAGTCAAATTAAAACTGCCTATAATATCCAAAATGAGTCCTGGACAATAAATGACCTCATCTCCAAGTGTGATTCTGAGGAAGAAAACCTTAGAAAAGAAAAGAGTAAAATTGTCTTGTTTGTTTCCCAACCTAAATCTAGTTTCGAAGATGGGTATCAAAAAAATAATATAAACCCTAATCATAATACTCCAAAAAATGATCGAAATTTCAAAAAGCATGGTACTGGTCAAAATGTGAGAGGTCCTAAGATTGTCATTCAAAAAGATGTCAAGTGTTACTTTTACAAGAAACGAGGTCATAAGAAAAGTGAGTGCACATAAAGAAAAAGTGATTCATAAGCAAACGGAGGCCAAGTGAATGAGAAGTCAAGCTTTAAGTAGGAAATAAGAATGAAGTCTATGTTGAGTTGAGTTCATAGGAACTGTTAGGTTGAATTTAGACACTGATTTTCAACTTGTTTCAAAAAATATTTTTTATGTACCGTCATTTAGGCAGAATTTGATTTCAGTTTTCTTGCTTGATAAAATTAGATATTATTTTAATTTTAGTACTGGTAAAACTCAATTGTCTTTAAATTCCAAAATTGTTGGTCATTATATTTTATCAGATGATTTATATAGTATATGTTTGGTTGTCAATTACAAATATAGTTCTTCAAATATTGTTAATGTTGTATCTAAGAGACATCTCAATGAAGAAAAATATTCGCAGTTATAACATAAAAGTTTGAGTCACATTTCTAGAGAAAAATTGGAAAGATTAATTAATAATGATATTCTTCCTCCCCTTGATTTTGAAGACCTTGAAACTTGTGTTAACTGCATTAGGAGTAAATTGACCAAGACTAATAAGAAAAGTGCAACTCACAGTCTAAATTTTTTAGAAATCATTCACACTGACATCAGTGGACCTTACTCACGTACCTTGTGTGGTAATAAATATTTTTTCACATTTATTGATAATTTCTCTCGTTATGGATATATTTATTTCTTTAATTAATAAACAAGTCTAATACTCTTGNAAGTACTTTGTGTGGTAATAAATATTTTTTCACATTTATTGATAATTTCTCTCGTTATGGATATATTTATTTCTTTAATTAATAAACAAGTCTAATACTCTTGAAAAGTTTAAAATTTTCAAGACTGAGATAGAGAAACAATTAAGGAAAGTCATCAAAATTGTTAGGTCTGACTGTGGTGGTGAGTATTATGGCAAACATGACGTGTCTAGACAGCATTTGAGACCATTTGTCAAGTACTTACAAGATTGTGGGATTGTTGTCCAATATACCATGTCTGGTAGTCCCAAATAGAATGATGTAGCTAAAAGACGTAGCTGAAAGGTATAATTGCACCCTTAAAGACATGATGAAGAGCATGATAAGTAGGTGTAACTTACCTGAATATTTTNGACGTAGCTAAAAGGTATAATTGCACCCTTAAAGACATGATGAAGAGCATGATAAGTAGGTGTAACTTACCTGAATATTTTTGGGAAGTAGCCATTAAAACGATTTTATACATTCTTAATAGAGTTCATAACAAATCTGTTCCAAAAACAATTTTTTGAATTATGGACCAATAGCAAACCAAACCTTAAATATTTTAGAGTCTGAGATTGTCCTACTGAAGTTAAAATCTACAACCCTTTTGAGAAAAATACTGATTCTAAAACTACTAGTTGTTTCTTCATAGGTTATCCAGAATATTCTAAAGGATACCGATTTCTATTGTCCTACACGTGGTACTAAAATTGTTAAGTCATTAACAACAAAATTTCTAGAGTTTGATGTTGCTGATATTAGTTGCTTACAGCCTATTAATGAGCATGAGCAAGATAAATTTATTAATATTCCTTTACCTATTGTGCAAGAGAATATTATACACATTCTTCTTGTTAATTTTCCTGCTCCAATTGTTAATCCTCCTATTCCTGCAATTGAACCTTCTGTTTCTATTGAGACTCCTCAGCCTTTAGAGCCTATTACTGAAATTTCCTTGAGAAATTTTACAAAACCAAGGAGACCTGTTATTTCTGATGAATATTTTGTATACCTAGGAGAAAGTGATTGCGATATTGGTAATATTGTTGATCCTGTAACAAACCATGATGCTATTACTTGTTCTCAGTTTGATATGTGGGTAGGTGTCATGAAAAATAAGATAGTAAATTCTCTTGATTTTGTTGAGAACATGAAAAATGAGATAATAAGTTCTCTTGATTTTGTTGAGAACAAGGTAGATCAATGCATATATCTTAAGGCCAGTGGAAGCAAGTTTATTTTTCTTATTCTCTATGTTGATAATATTTTGCTTGTAAGTAGTGATTTGAGCTTACTTTATGAGATTAAGTAATTATTGTGTAAAATATTTAACATGAATGATCTTGGGGAAATATCTTTTGTGTTAAGCATTCAAATTCATCGGGGAAGAAGTCGTAGATTGTTGGGACTTTCTCAAAGGACATATATAAATCGTGTACTTGAAATATTTAATATGCATAATTGTAAGTTTGGGGATGTACCTGTTGTGAAAGGTGATAAACGCAGTCTAAGTCAATGCCCCAAGAATGATCTTGAGGATGAGTATATGAAAAATATATCTTATGCAAGTGTTGTTAGCAGTTTAATGTATACACAGGTTTGTACTAAGCGTAACATTGATTTTGCAATTAGTGTTCTTAGTAGATATATTTTCAAACCAGGATTAGATCATTGGGTGACAGCTAAGAAAGTTATGATGTACTTGCCAAAGAATAAAAAATTACATGCTTGTTTATAAAAGAATTGATAGTCTTGAGGTGATTGGTTACTCAGATTTAGATTTTACTGGGTGTCAGGATGATTTAAAATCCACTTTCAGGATATATTTTTATGTTAGCTGGTGGAGCAATATCTTAGAATAGTGTTAAATAAACTCTCACAACTTCTTTCACTGTACAAGCTGAATTTGTAGCTTGTTATAAAGCTGCAACACAAGCTATATGACTAAAGAATTCTTTTTCAGAACTTATGATTGTTGATTTCATCTCCAAACTACTAACAATTTATTGTGATAATAGTGCAGCCGTATTCTTCTCAAAGAACAACAAACATTCTAGTGTGTCTAAACATATGAAAATTAAATATCTTTCTCTTATGGATCTTGTGAAGAAATGTGACATTGTAATTGAACATATTGATACAGAATCAATGATTGTTGATCATTTAACCAAGAGACTAAGATCTGTAACTTTTAAAAAAACATGTTGACAACATGGATATTTTGGAGTCTTTTGATGTACTTGATTAGTGAGAGTTTTTTTTTATTTGTTATGAATTTTAGTATTAATTTAATTCCATATGTGATATTTGATACTCATTATGGTTGAGATACATCTATTTGATGAATAATAAATATTTAGATAATTATCCTTATTGTTAGCACGATATTCTTACTATGTTATATGTGTGCACATTTATGACATATCATTTTATATAAAATCTTAAGGTTTGATATATGTCTTAAGTATAACTGTTTTGTTAATGAAGTATGTCTCTGATTACACCATTTGAGAAAATCTTGAAATTTTAAGTTGGAGACATACTAGCTTATTATTGAAACTAATAAATTTTTCTAACTTATTGTTGAAGCATGTTATTAACGAGAAATCATTTGAAGGACTAACAATCAAAATAACATGTTTATCAAATCACATTTTGAGATGTTATTTTCTTGCTACACTACCACATTTTGATCCATGTCAATAGAATTATTATTTTTTATAATCATGGATTGATTTTATGTCAATAAATGATGTAAAGGCCACTATGGTTCGAAAATAATAATTTTATTGAACAGACTGTGTTTAAAATATTGTCTCAGGACTATATTATTTTTTATTGTGGCCACATTGAATTTTATTTGATTAACCCGAGAGTCGTTTTCAAAAATATATATATAATTTTATTTTATTTCTAAATAACTACAATTAATGTTATCCAAGTAGAAGAATGTTAAAATTTTTCCTATATTGAATTTTCATTAGTTAATAGTTAATTTTTAGTTTGTGAAAACAAGTTGAATTTATAGTCCAATGAGATAATTCCAATATTATTAAGTAATATATTTTGATGGATTTATGTACATTTTTTAATTGATGTGATTGAGGACTTAATCTAATTGTGGCCCATAATAGAAGAGCCCATTATAAATAGCAGGCTAAGTCCTCTTTTCACTTTATAACTCTAATTTGATTTGTCTTATTGACAGCTGTTTATTGTTTTGAAAAATGAGATAAAGACCTTGCCCTTTTGCAGAAAAAACCTGAAGATTGAATATCATGAGTCATATAGGTATGTTCTAAATCTTAAATTTAGAATCTAAATCTTGTAATTTAGGTGTTCTAAATTTCATATACAAATCATTAAAATTTCTTCCAAGGACAAAATGGTGTGCTATACCATGGGAAACTAGAGTAGCTCAAATATCAAGGTGTTTGGATAAAATTCATGGTCCCAACTGACTTTGTATTGATATAGTAAACTAACTACATGTGCAATCAAATTGCTTAACAGCGAATAATATAGCAGAACTAACAATTTGCATCAGAGGAGTTTGCAAAATAGAAGAATACCCTTCTTGACGAATTCCCCACAAAAGAGTGGTTCCGATGGTTACCCGAGTTACTGATTGTTACCCTGAACCTATTAAGACCATTTTCTATTGTCATATGTGGAATCAGTTCAACGACAAAATTTACAACATCATGACTTGCAAGTAACCATGCTTTTACCTGAATCCTTGTTACAATTGCCTGACAAGTTGCTATAAAAATTAGATAAGTTGTGCCTTTTTCAGATCAGAAACAACTCCTCTATCACCACTGCTCCTCTCATTGTAAAGAACCTGTAGCAAATAAAGAGAATATATATTTACATGATGCTTAAACAACAAATAGAATTTAATGTAATACGTCCAGTGAAAGTACCTTATCGATAATTCCATATTCAACTGCTTCACTGGGACTGAAATACTTTGGACGCCTTATGTCTGCTTCAATCTGCTCAGGTGATTTTCCTATATGCTTCGAGTATAGTTTAACCTTCAACACACAGACAAAACAAAAATGTTAGTGGCTTTATTAAGTTATGTCTGGATGCAGGGCCAACCTAGTAGTTGGTTAAGCCCATAAATCAGTTCCAGAATCCAGACTCAACTTGTACTAATTCCCAATAAACAAAAGGACCATTTTCAAGTATGAAATTGGCATAACACGAAGTGGTATTAAGAGAATAGAAGCCATTTTTTCGTGTATAGCTAAGCACAAAATATATAGATAGATACACACATACATACATACATACATACTTACATAAATACACACACACACACACAGTTATGTATATATAAACNGATATATGTCTTAAGTATAACTGTTTTGTTAATGAAGTATGTCTCTGATTACACCATTTGAGAAAATCTTGAAATTTTAAGTTGGAGACATACTAGCTTATTATTGAAACTAATAAATTTTTCTAACTTATTGTTGAAGCATGTTATTAACGAGAAATCATTTGAAGGACTAACAATCAAAATAACATGTTTATCAAATCACATTTTGAGATGTTATTTTCTTGCTACACTACCACATTTTGATCCATGTCAATAGAATTATTATTTTTTATAATCATGGATTGATTTTATGTCAATAAATGATGTAAAGGCCACTATGGTTCGAAAATAATAATTTTATTGAACAGACTGTGTTTAAAATATTGTCTCAGGACTATATTATTTTTTATTGTGGCCACATTGAATTTTATTTGATTAACCCGAGAGTCGTTTTCAAAAATATATATATAATTTTATTTTATTTCTAAATAACTACAATTAATGTTATCCAAGTAGAAGAATGTTAAAATTTTTCCTATATTGAATTTTCATTAGTTAATAGTTAATTTTTAGTTTGTGAAAACAAGTTGAATTTATAGTCCAATGAGATAATTCCAATATTATTAAGTAATATATTTTGATGGGTTTATGTACATTTTTTAATTGATGNACACACACACACACACAGTTATGTATATATAAACAAAGGAAAAGGCAAAAGGTTGAGTCAGTGGACTCAATAAACAGGCTCTACTCCCACCAATTTTGAAATAGGTGGCCATCCTTTCCATTCTTCAAAAGGAGGCTCTACAATTCAACTTCAGCTTTAACAGTGGTAACGCAACAACTCCCTCACACGTCCACACAAAACACACAAAAAATAAAAATGTCTTTTTTTATTTTCCTTTTGTTCAACAAGTAAGCATGCTCTGAAAATGGGAGAAAACTGAAACTTAAATGTTCAGTTACATTACCAACTCCGCCTTTACATTCTTTACTTCTTTCCTCATAAGCTCAACATCNGGTTCGAAAATAATAATTTTATTGAACAGACTGTGTTTAAAATATTGTCTCAGGACTATATTATTTTTTATTGTGGCCACATTGAATTTTATTTGATTAACCCGAGAGTCGTTTTCAAAAATATATATATAATTTTATTTTATTTCTAAATAACTACAATTAATGTTATCCAAGTAGAAGAATGTTAAAATTTTTCCTATATTGAATTTTCATTAGTTAATAGTTAATTTTTAGTTTGTGAAAACAAGTTGAATTTATAGTCCAATGAGATAATTCCAATATTATTAAGTAATATATTTTGATGGATTTATGTACATTTTTTAATTGATGTGATTGAGGACTTAATCTAATTGTGGCCCATAATAGAAGAGCCCATTATAAATAGCAGGCTAAGTCCTCTTTTCACTTTATAACTCTAATTTGATTTGTCTTATTGACAGCTGTTTATTGTTTTGAAAAATGAGATAAAGACCTTGCCCTTTTGCCAAAAAAACCTGAAGATTGAATATCATGAGTCATATAGGTATGTTCTAAATCTTAAATTTAGAATCTAAATCTTGTAATTTAGGTGTTCTAAATTTCATATACAAATCATTAAAATTTCTTCCAAGGACAAAATGGTGTGCTATACCATGGGAAACTAGAGTAGCTCAAATATCAAGGTGTTTGGATAAAATTCATGGTCCCAACTGACTTTGTATTGATATAGTAAACTAACTACATGTGCAATCAAATTGCTTAACAGCGAATAATATAGCAGAACTAACAATTTGCATCAGAGGAGTTTGCAAAATAGAAGAATACCCTTCTTGACGAATTCCCCACAAAAGAGTGGTTCCGATGGTTACCCGAGTTACTGATTGTTACCCTGAACCTATTAAGACCATTTTCTATTGTCATATGTGGAATCAGTTCAACGACAAAATTTACAACATCATGACTTGCAAGTAACCATGCTTTTACCTGAATCCTTGTTACAATTGCCTGACAAGTTGCTATAAAAATTAGATAAGTTGTGCCTTTTTCAGATCAGAAACAACTCCTCTATCACCACTGCTCCTCTCATTGTAAAGAACCTGTAGCAAATAAAGAGAATATATATTTACATGATGCTTAAACAACAAATAGAATTTAATGTAATACGTCCAGTGAAAGTACCTTATCGATAATTCCATATTCAACTGCTTCACTGGGACTGAAATACTTTGGACGCCTTATGTCTGCTTCAATCTGCTCAGGTGATTTTCCTATATGCTTCGAGTATAGTTTAACCTTCAACACACAGACAAAACAAAAATGTTAGTGGCTTTATTAAGTTATGTCTGGATGCAGGGCCAACCTAGTAGTTGGTTAAGCCCATAAATCAGTTCCAGAATCCAGACTCAACTTGTACTAATTCCCAATAAACAAAAGGACCATTTTCAAGTATGAAATTGGCATAACACGAAGTGGTATTAAGAGAATAGAAGCCATTTTTTCGTGTATAGCTAAGCACAAAATATATAGATAGATACACACATACATACATACATACATACTTACATAAATACACACACACACACACAGTTATGTATATATAAACAAAGGAAAAGGCAAAAGGTTGAGTCAGTGGACTCAATAAACAGGCTCTACTCCCACCAATTTTGAAATAGGTGGCCATCCTTTCCATTCTTCAAAAGGAGGCTCTACAATTCAACTTCAGCTTTAACAGTGGTAACGCAACAACTCCCTCACACGTCCACACAAAACACACAAAAAATAAAAATGTCTTTTTTGATTTTCCTTTTGTTCAACAAGTAAGCATGCTCTGAAAATGGGAGAAAACTGAAACTTAAATGTTCAGTTACATTACCAACTCCGCCTTTACATTCTTTACTTCTTTCCTCATAAGCTCAACATCAGTTGCTTGACCCTGAAACCTTGCAATTGGCTGCATATACACAGATAAAATATGTGAATAAATCAAACTTGTATGGGAATCAATGTCCCTGAACCAGAATCATAATAATCCAAGAATACTATTTCTTGCCTTGCAAGAAAAACAACATGGAGAACCAAGAACAATTTTTGGAAAAACGGATATTAGGAGCTAAAAACAACCTGCTTCATCATAATTGTGGACGAGGGCAAGGCAGAACGATTTCCTTTTGCACCAGCAGCCAAAAGTAAGGCAGCTTCTCCCCAAGCATTGCCAACACAGAGTGTAAAAATAGGTGGCTTGACATACCTGAAGAGGAAAATAAAGCTTAGTTCAGTAATGGTTGGAAGGCAAAAATAATGCACATTTTAAAGAGATGAAAAATGGATATAGAGAGGCATACTATTACTTCACATGCACAAACTCTTCTAATGTAATCTGCAACGCAGATATGCATATCTGGATTACTAATTCTAAGGTATTAAATCGGTCCACAAAAAGTATTTCAAGAATGTGTCCAACCAATTGTAACCAGCATGATTGCAGAACGTATTAGGTAAGATAACTGATTTGGCTTGCCCCAACTATGCTGATAAACAAAATCCACTCATACTAAAAAAGAAAAAAAAAATCTATGGACATGTACTCTACATTAGTAAATGTTGCTTATAACTCTACTTTTTCATGATTAATGCAGCCAGTCTTTTACTTGTAAGTGCAGGGACATGATTACAAATAACCATGGAAAGAGCACATGTGCATCAGATTGCCAATTTTCAGCCGCAGCATTCCACCAAAGCCACTTTGTTGTTAAACAGAATTTATCCTCATGCCAAAAGTCCCAAACCAAACTTTTGTGTACAAGACTTTCATTATACAGATCACATAATGCAAAACATGTCGCTCACATAATATCGCAAAACATAAATGACATAATAAGGATAGCATAAAGATTTCTTACCTCATAACATCATATATTGCAAAAGCCTCGGTCTCATAACCCAACTTCTCACCACCCTGTAAGAAGTGCAAACTATTATGAAAAGCCAGAATCAACATATTTGAACTCCATGTGTCTGCTTTAATAAACTAAGATGAAAGGCTAAATCAAAATGTATCAACCTATGGAATGATGGGGAGTTAGTGAAAGCATTACAAACTCTAGAAATAACTGAACCAACATCTTTACCAGTGCAACATATAAGATTACAATCTCACTGTATCAATCAGTAAAATGTTAAAAAATTAAAAAGGACAAAACTTAAAAACTTATTCAATACTTATTGCAAAATTTTCTTAAGTAAAAAAAGGCTCAATTTACTAAGCCCCATAGCAGCTAAGAAATCTCTTTCATTCATGGGTGCTGTCATTTGCACACTTAGCTTGTACAGTAGGAGTAAAATATAACAATTTTAATATATGGCATGCATGTTTGATTACACTTTCTAGCAAAATCAAAAACGCCGTGGTAGTCCAGGTTTTATATCACTATTGCTGACAATCACATCATAAGAGAAACACAGATTTTTGAACTCCGGATTACTGATGTTACTTCCACAAATTTTCAAAGTGTACATCTCCTTTTTCACACCACAAAATTTTCGAAGTGCATATCCAACAAATGTTTCCACTTCTGGTGCAAATATGAAGTCCAAATGGAGACTAATCTAAAAGAGACGAAGTTATCTGAATGTTGTTTATCATCTACAGCACAAAAGCTATCCATCTATTGATAGCTTCAAAAAAGCAGAATCCTTGAAAGGAATAAATAATAATTGGGGTACCAATCATGGAAAAGGTAAACATCCCTAAGCCACTCTAAGTTGATTGCACCAAACTTTGAATTCCGATGTCTCTGCATCTTGTCAATAGAGGTTAGGAATTACCCAAACATCTCAGTCATACATTTAAAAATACAGGTAAAATTCATGAAACCCTTGAAATAAAGCAATATAGTTAACCTTAGTTGTTCCTGTGGAATTTACGTAGAGGTAAATTGGTTTTTCTTCATCCTCATACTGAAGGTAGAGAAATTCTGCTAGTATCAACTCTGTGACCGATGGGACTAGAGACATTCCCAAGTAGACAATTCGATTCTTATACAAGTAAGATGCTAAATCTGGAGGAGGTTGCTCCCATGCACTACCCCTTGAAAAAGGAATAACCTGTCAACAGAAGTATGGCAAACAACAGTTTTGAGAAGTTTCTCGAATACAATAGGATGATAAAGTCAAGCAAAATAAAGGTTAAGAATAATTAAAGCGAAACATAGTTATTTCTTTTATGAAAATATATAAAATTGCATCAAGGATAATACCTACATAATGAAGGAAATATGTGCAATTCGAACTGCACATAGATGACATTAAACCTTCATCAAAATGTACAATTTACAAACATTACAAGGAGAAAACTTTCATTATATTTTAGATTGTCGAGTAAGAGTATTTGAATCTGGTATTAATTACGGGATTAGCAAGCTATTTGGTACGAAATTCAAACTCAACCAAAATATTTCTAGCAAAAGGATTTTCGTTTTCTTATTGCTTTCATTCTTGTATCTGATAAGAGTACTAATGACAACAATGACAAAAAAAGAAATAGTATCCCAGTGGAAAACCTTCTTTTAATAGAGCTTCCCTACTGTAAATCATAATGGTCATAACAGCGATGTTTTGTCTAATGTGTAACGATGTTTTGTCTAATATTGAGCGATGTTTTGTCTAATGTGTACTCATGGGAAATTCCTACATGTGATGTCTATAAGGAAGGCATCACCTAGATATTCCTTTTTCACGAATATTAACTCAACTCATCNTATTGAGCGATGTTTTGTCTAATGTATACTCATGGGAAATTCCTACATGTGATGTCTATAAGGAAGGCATCACCTAGATATTCCTTTTTCACGAATATTAACTCAACTCATCTGTATGTTTGAGTGTTTATCAAGGTTTGCACGGCCCTCATATGACCAGATCCATTACACCTTCCATTGGCCCAGAAGAGGGGGGGATGTAAATCCTGGCCAACCCAAACGAACAGTGGCTATGCTATTGCAACACCCACTTGGTACACCAAACTCCGTACAACCCTACCACAAAAATCACATCAGAAAGCCATAATTCTGGTCTCCATTACCATCATCCTGACAGAACTCCAAACCCACCCAGCATTATTGTCCAAGAGTCTTATCCAACAAGTAAATGAATCAAATTTACCATTTTTCATTTTACTCTCTAGTTAGATCATGCTCTGGTTCACAAAGTATCTGAAACCATTTCACTCTCACAACTTCAAATTTTCATTTCTATCGAGCATGTATATCCGCATACACTTAAACTATATATATGTGATTTGAAACAAATTTGAAACCCTAGGTAAGTGAGATGGCACAATACATAATGAAGCTAAAAAAATCACAATGCGAGTTTGGAAATAGAGTACCATAGTGACAACGCCACGTTTGCCACGAGAGCCTGAAGTAGACGGCTTGAGGGAATCTGGTTGGATTTTATGACCAGAGAAGTCGCCGGAAACGCTTCCGCCGACGAATGGAGAGAGAAAGTTGGTAGATAAAGAGGCTCTAAGAGATGAGGATGAGGAGGAATTGAGGGTTCGATTTACAGGTGTGATCCGTGAACTCATGGGTGAGGATAGCAATGGAGTCGTAGGGAAGAAGTGAGAAGCCATGGTCGCTACCTCCATACCTGCAAGCAGTGTGTGCGGAGAAAAAGGGTTTTGGACTTTGGATGTGAGAGAGAGAGAGAGAAAGAGAGAGTTCTGAATCGACGAATTGGGTACGGGTGTAGTTAGCACTCCGTACTGATACTGATTCAGCCCATGAACTGGAACCGACCCGGTTGAGGGCAGAATTGAAACTAGTGGTATAGTTTAGGGGTTAATTTAGTAATTTACTCAAAATACAATAATGCTAAATATAACTAATGTTTATAGTTATTGGATTCAGGCATTTATTCCCATGAATTTTCTAGTTTTGATGGATGGTCTACTTTGACCAGACAAAAAAAGAGATTAATCGAGGTACACGTAAACTGATCTAAACACTCTTAACGGTTAAACTAAAAAAAAAATTATTGCATTAATTTTATTATTACAATTTACAGTTAATCCAAATGCAGCACACAACGCATTAAGTTACATTACATTTTGGACCAAGGGTAAATCTCGTAAATACCTCATGAATTACGACCTTCGTTTTTTTTTTTTTGAACTTTCAATTGTCCCAATTTATCTTTGAGCTATGTAATTTGTTAATTGTAAAAATGAGATAAATTAATAGTTAATCTTAAGAGAATTTATCTCAATTGATGATTAATTTTAACAAAAGGAATCGATTGAAACAAATAACATAGTTCAAGGGACAAATTTGAACGTTTAAAAGTTCAAGAGGACAATTTAAAAATGATGGTTATAATTTAGTGGGCATTTATGAAATTTATCCTAATATTCAATACCAAATCTGGAAATATAAAAGGTGTAGTTGTATCCAAATTCCGACATATACTTTACCAAGCACAAACATAAAACAACCCAGTGTCCTGCATGTAGAAAAACAAACAATTCTGCGTACTCACTTGTTCCATTTCACATAATATCTCAAATCTTACAACACAAACCTTTATACATTCACAATCCTTGTAACTATATATTATACAACACCATCACAAAGATACTCCTATTGAAAATTAATGTACTAAGGTTAACGGTTGGCTTAACGGCCATCGCCTCCGCCGTTGAACCTCAAGGCGGTGGGTTCAACTCTCGCTGTTCCCTTTCCTATAACAGTGACCCAGAAAGAAAAAAAAGAGCTTTTTCAAGTTTGAACACACACACTGCTACTATATTTTTGTTCCATCATGACTAAGTATCTGAAACTGTGTCCTCTTAGTGCGATTCAAGTCATCATTGGCCTTTGATTCTTTACGCTTTCTGCGATAAGCCCAGGCTTCCAGCACCAGTTGGAAGATCCAAACGGCTGAAGCTGATAGAAAAGTACCTATAGTCGCAGAGAACTTTTCTTCAGGTGTTACAAGAGCTAATGCCATCAGATATGCAAAGGACAATAACGCCAGTGGGACAAGGAGCAACACACGCAGAGGCGATCCCTTAGTGAGGACAGTAATTGTCAGTAGAGAAGCAAAGAAACAATACAAATTGAAGTGCATGAATAGTACTGAGGTGAATGATGTAGCCATTATTGCAGTTCCAGCTTTGTGTTCTATAGCTGTGGTGTTGGAAAGTGGCCTGTAATTGTATTGCCAGACCCCACCCGGTGGGTTGATTCCTGTTAGAAAACATGTTGCTGCAATCACTATGGCTGCAATTACAATCACTGTGCTAAAATCATTTGTAGCAGGGCGACCCTTTAGTTCATATGTCTTCTCAGTGGTGGTCGTGGTGGCAGGTGGTGGTGCTAAAGAGATAATCTGACTAGCAGACATTGCACAGGCACCACGAAGGATATTTTCAATTTCGTCGTCGCCTTTTATTCTTTGTAGCTGTAACAAGATGTCGAGTGCAGTTTGATTATTTTTGTTCACAACGTTCACTTCCACCTCATTTCTGTTTCCAGGATTGCTGTCGAGTAGTAAATTTATCATCTGCAGCACATAAAAAACATTATTTTTTCAAGTTTGCCTGTTTGAGTGAGCGAATTAAGCTACACAGACTCGATAACGTCTTCCTTGTCCAAACAGTCGAATTCATATGTTGTGAAAAAGGAAAGCAGAAGCTCAAGATTTCAAAAAAATAAAAATAAACATATTTAGAGCACGAGAGTGTACCTCGCGTTGCCTATTTAATGTCGCGATGTGCAGAACAGTATTACCTTCGTGGTCTTTCCAGTTCAAGACCTCTTCCTTTTTGATTTTCTTGAGACTGTCCTTGATGATGGCAAAATCTTCCACTTCCCTCTTGTTAAAACCATGTGAAAACATCACCCCTTCAAATTCCTCTTTATTGAGCAATTTGTTTGCTTTAAACCGAGACCCGAGAATAACCAATCTAGAACTTTTTGTAGCAAACAGAAACGCATTAGCATCAACCTCAATCTCATAAACCTTATTGATCCATTCACCCAACTTCTTAAAAGCTTCGAACTGGTTATTTTTTGCAGCCAAATGAAGGGGCGTCTCATTTTTGATTGTCAAGTCTACAAGAGACTTAGGACAGGCTTGAAGCAAAATGTCAATAACATCAGTTTGCCCGGCTTTCGCAGCACAGTGAAGGGGGGTTCTCTTCTCTCTTCCCTTTAGAAGGCAGAGGTTTTGATCGATAGCCAAGAACTCTTTCACAATCTCTACATCTCCAGCCAGTGATGCCAAGTGCATGGGACTATAACCACATGGATTCAGCTTCCTTGTCAATGATGGTTTTAGGCTTGCAATCTCCTTCACAAAACAGGTTTGCTTAGCTGATAAAGCAACATGTAATGGAGTCACTGAAAAGGGAATTTGATCAACCTTATCAAGAACATAAGGATCTTGCTCAATTAAATTGTACAAAGCATCGATGTTGCCAGATTTGGCCACTTCAAGCAATCCCTTATCCATTTTTGAGCAGGCAACGACAACTCTCCACACGATAACACGAAATGCTTGGAACTTATTTATGTGAAAATGATAGAGCTAAACCAGAAAGAAGATATTTGTTTCTAGCAGAGAAGGTTCGTAGATAAATCCTCTGCTCTTTTGACTGGGTAAAATTGCTATGATCACCAACCATTCAATTAAAATTTGATTAAACTACAAAAATTCATAAATCAGTTTCGATTCAAAAATCAACTAGTTGACAATTTGTATCTTTTTTTTCTCTTCCTGTCAGCTAATTTGCTTGCTATCATGTCAGTAGCATAATAACGAATAATTTATAATCGCCATGTTAAAATGACAAGTTGACATAACACCTGCAGGTTAAAACATCCACATCTAGCACTTGTACTGGTTGCAGCCTAAACAGAGTTGATTCAGTTAATACTTAGGAGATATGCTCTAGATAAGATTTGGACACCAACAAAACTTACAATATTTGTGCGTGCTGGATCTTGTACAATATAAACACGAGAACAGATCTCTCCCTTGGTGAACTCGAGTGAGTCAGTCGAGTGGTCAACCCTACTACTTGGAACAGCCTGTGAGGTCCGGTGGTAACCTGAAACGATAATGGGAGACCCTCGTGGATCAACGGAACGATCCAGTAAGACTGAGGAAGGTTCCTAGAACAAAGAAAGACAAGTTAAAAGGGTGCCGGAGTGTTTTTCGGCGTATCCCCTCCGACGATCAAGTCAGTTTTTGAGAGGGAGAAAAAAGAAAACACTGAGTATAAGTTTGAGAAAAGGTTTCACCTTATTTTTTTCTTTCTTGCCTTTTATGAGGAGTATTTATACCTCAAATACTCATGATTGATGTCAGTGTGGTCAGTAGGTGATCATTAGATACGGGCAACGTGCGCACTGATTCCTATGAGGAATGTCTTCTCTTTTAACTGCTCGGGATCCCGAGCAACTAAGGCTGTGTCATCGGCCTGCCGACTGTTTAATGAGCTCCTCTCGGCAAGGATGTAATAAATGCCCAGTCTTAAGGATATTTATTACCTTTTACTTCCGAGTCTTACCGCATTAAATGTTGTCTCATCAAAGGAATGGTGTAATTAAATGTTTGTTTTTCCAAGTCGTATGCCAGCAAGGGCATCCGGTCTTTTTGTCTCTGATATGACACAATATGCCACGCGTCCATTTCTCATTGGGTGTGTCTCCTGCCTTTTTGTGTCTTCTGACACCAATTGTGTAAGACGAGGTCATGATGGCTAACCTAGCCTAGTCTAGGCTAGTGACTTGCACATCAATAGCCTCTGCAGGAGCAGAGAACGCCATCCTGGATGGGGGTACATCTCGGTACCGAGGGGGATTGGTACATGTAGGGACCGATGTACTCTATACGACCCGAGGGATACGNGTCTTAAGGATATTTATTACCTTTCACTTCCGAGTCTTACCGCATTAAATGTTGTCTCATCAAAGGAATGGTGTAATTAAATGTTTGCTTTTCCAAGTCGTATGCCAGCAAGGGCATCCGGTCTTTTTGTCTCTGATATGACACAATATGCCACGCGTCCATTTCTCATTGGGTGTGTCTCCTGCCTTTTTGTGTCTTCTGACACCAATTGTGTAAGACGAGGTCATGATGGCTAACCTAGCCTAGTCTAGGCTAGTGACTTGCACATCAATAGCCTCTGCAGGAGCAGAGAACGCCATCCTGGATGGGGGTACATCTCGGTACCGAGGGGGATTGGTACATGTAGGGACCGATGTACTCTATACGACCCGAGGGATACGTGTCAGTATGTAACGTACTGGGTATCATTGATCCCTATGAACAGTACCTCGGGGAAACAGGGACTTGTGATCCGACGGATACGTGTCGTGTTTATAGGAAAAGAATTTACTGATGCCGAGTACACGTGTCTTCATCTTGGAGTACTTGAAAATGTCCCATCAATATTCTATAAAAAAAAAGTAATAAACAACCATTTTTTTCCTGTTTCAAAGGCAAACAAATGTAGTTACAAATATCAATAAACCCCATGACGAGGGGGAAGGGGCGTCGCTATCCTGGTGAGATTCGATCCCAGGTTAGTCGAGGCGTGGGATAACCATTTGAATTAGAATAGACAAATGCATGATGACTTTACTTCTAAATAAATTTATCTTACATCAAGAGTAATTTAACTGAGGCAGCAGGCAACAATTCACCGGATTTCCATAGTCAAACCTTTAACCCTGACACTACACTGATCCCATGAAAATGACTAAGAAGCCTCTTTTACTATGTTTATATATCTAATAGGAAGATTGACTTTAATCAGATTATGGGGCTCATGAAAGGGTACTCTAAACACTAATCCTAGCCTGTTAGTTTGTCGGGCCTCCATTATGGGCCCAACTAAGCCCTTAGACTCGAAGAAATTAGGGGAATTTAAAAAGGGTAAATTGTAAGGGGTTATTAGCCTTATTTGGTAAAAAGTACACACAAAAAAATGTAGGGTTATTAAGTAATTAATTTTGATACTTATTTGTATCCAAGTACATAATTTGAATTTATCTATTTTTATTGTGACATTTTTGCGCTCCATTAATCCATGTGTATTTAATGCACCATTTTTTTTTGGAAAATGATCCATTAAACATCTCCTATTTTTATGGGAGAACTTTAAAATATATATATATATATATATATAAATGCTTATGTATGTATATATGTATATACTTGTTGTTAAATTTCTTATCTAAATTTTGAATTATTTTTTAATGCACATTGATTCATGCATTTTTTTTTTTAGAAAGTGATTTTATTTTCAAATTAATTTAATATCCGAATAGTGTAATAGTGTAACAATAACAGTGTAACACTAACAACGTAACAATATAACAATAATAATGTAACAAGTTATTTACACAAAATATTGTACTATTACATTTTGTCAAACATATAGTTTCATATAATTTCATTCAAAATAGTTCATCTCCGTTTTGAATTTGTTATCATATATACAAAACTACTGAATACTGTTTTTGTTATAGTGTATTTATTACACTGTCTTTGTTACAGTGTATTTGTTACACTGTTATTATTACACTGTTATTGTTATACTATTACATTATTTGGATATTAAATTAATTTAAAAATAAAACTATTTTTCAAAAAAAAATATGTATGAATCAAGGTGCATTAAAGATAATTCAAAATTTAAATAAGAGATTTAACAACAAATATATATATATATATATACATGTATTAACAAATACACATGAATTAAAGATGCATTAAATACGTATTTATATGTATTAACAAACACACATGAATCAAGGTGCATTAAAGATAAGAGATTTTGAATTAAATAACCCTAAAATGGACATTTTTATCTTTTTAACTCTCTTTTTGTTCTATATATTTTTTGTCAAATAAGTCTAATTAGGTGTACTGTCTTCCAAAGAACCCATTTAAAAACCAGTAAAATTCAAGACCCTAAATCCATGTTCTGTACCTTGTCGTGGCCCATTATGAAAAGATTCATCTCTTTGGGATGGTAGATCAGGTCTGTGGATGGTTAGAGTGAAGAGGGACAGGGAGGGTGCACGGAGACTGGGAGGTTGGATTAGGAGGATGTTGTAGATAGAGAGAAGCGTGATTATCAAAATTCGGATTCGGATCTTAGGATCTCATGCTTCAATATAAGCAAATCAATCCGAATCTCATGTAGGATCCCAAATTCTTAAGATCTTAATGAATCGCGATTTCGATCGTATAGGATCTTAAGATCTCGATCCGAACTACAACTTTACCAATCCAAATTATTGAATTTGTTTGGTAGGCATATCTAGTTACGGAGCAATTCAATCCATACTTTTCAGTTTTTGTAGTTAAGTACTCAATACTAATATGGATACCTTATATACTAATGAGTCTATTGGGAAATTTCAAATGACAATAAAAGCTTATTTTTCAAAAATGTCTCTTTTTTCATTGATTTCTCTTAGTAAAAAGTTTAAAGTAATGGTTAGATTTAAATTTCTTTCACTGGGAGTAATCATAGTCAGATAGTCTTTTATTTTTATTTCTTTATGCTTTTTTTTGTTTGAATGTTGAATAGCCAAAAATTATTATCCAATAGTTTTTCAACTTTCTGGTCTCTACTCTTTTATATCTTCTCTGAAAGTTAAAGATAAAAATACTTGAATTCTTTTATTCCTTTTTACACGATCTTACAAGATTAACAGTCCGTCTTTGATTTTAAACTTTCTTTAATTTCAAATTGTAATTTATCAAATTTTAATTGTACCTTAAGTTTGATCTTTATTGTAATATTCTTGTTTTCATAGATATTGGGCTTATCCAAGTCTTGTTTTTGAAATTTTTTTATTGTTACATATATTTGTTATCTCATTTTCTCAGTTGATAGGATTTTACGATTCTCGATCCGATCCTATAATCTTGGTTCTATAACTTCCCCATCAATCCAAGATAGGGTCTCGATTTTAAAAACCTTAGAGAGAAAGAGAGATAGAGAATTTATAGAGAAAATAAAGTACATAGATGAAGTAGTTTTACTTTATAATGTTAGATAAGCTAGGACTCAATCTTTTTGAATTTCACTTCATGTTTGAAATTATACGTGAATTAAACCTAATTCAAACTTGATAATGATTTGTTTAAGTCTAGGCTTATTTAGAGCTCAAGACTCTTTGGGCTTACTAAACACAGTCCAAGCACCTCATGCAGACAATATTCCTTGAGCTTGAATTAGACTATAATCTAGTTCTAGGAAAGCTCAATATTAACAAGCTCGGTACATTTACGAGTTCAAGATATGGGAGCATGAAACAGGGTCAATCTGCAAAAGCTGTAGCATGACACGTGGACAGAGGACAAGGGAACATTATCTAACGGCTCTGATGAAAAAAAAACGCACAGATAGTGAAGACAGATCAAATACTGCAGTTGACGAGTAATGGATGCAGAAAGGGGTTAGGAACCATTGCTCCAGGACAAAGACAAATGCAGAAGGAACCATATAATCAACCAAAAAGACAAACACGAAATCCTAACTACCAGTTGTATGTATAGCCAATAAGGCTACAGTATACGGGGAAGCCATTCAAAAAACGTCCTGTAAAGGGCTTTAAGCCAAACACCCTGTAACCGAAATCTTCTTTTTCAAATAATACAATCTTTAAGGAGCAAGAATTTCTCTTACAATGGACATAATTTTAATTTTTCGGCTAAGGTAAACTACTCAAACTGTTGTCTTCTCCTTGCATCATATACATAACCTAAACGCTCACATTCTCATATACACACACTCACTAGGCCACATCTCAGACTATTCTGTAGTTCAGTCCAATTGATTTCGAGTACCATCAAAACTCATGCATGCTTTAAATGGACTTCATCGCACCGATCAAAGGGGCTTTGGGTGGGCTCATTCAAAGTGCATCACAACCTTAGTAATTCGAATTTACAACAAACTAACTTGTTAGCAGTAAATTTAAGAAAGAGAACATTTAATAACCTAGCAATCAACAACTCGTGGATTTCCGTAGATTATTAATAGTAAAAGAATATCATACAGTATTTTTTAGAATAATCCCCTAATCCTCCCACACACAACGTAGTCCTCCCATGTAACATAAATTGATGTAGAAATCCAAAGTCTCTACCTTACCTATGTGGTTAGAGTTAGTTGGTTCTACTTTTTATTGTCATTATCCACCATTTAATTTTGATTTTTCACATTGAAAATGCCTCTTAACATTCTCATGTGCTGAACAAGTAACATTTTTCGTTAATAATTTGAACGATAGTTAGTGCTAGGGATCACATTGGTTCAATGTGTAAACTTTGAATATCCAATTAATAAAATTAAAATTTTAAAAACTAAAGTGTGACAAACGACAAACTTCGGGGATTATGGTGCAATTTACTCAAATATAAATGGGAGAATTACACACAGCTTCCCTGAGATTTGTCACTTAATTACTCAGATCCCCTGATATTTAAAATATTACACACAGATCCCTTGAAGTTTGTACGCGTCTAAGACTTAGACCCCTGATGTAAATATATCTGTTAATAAATTACACTTAAACTCCTCTGAAGTTTATAGGTATATAATATTTAAGTTCCTTAAGTTTAAAATGTTATACCTAGACCAATAATACTTCAATTAAAGATAAAATATCAAATATTTTAAATTTTACAATTAAAATTCATATTTTATTGTATCATTTATTGAAATAAAATCAAAAATAAAAATTCAATTTTTTTCTTAAAAAATCGTAATTAGTATACAAATTATCTATTGGAATTTAATTTGGTCGTTTAAACAACCAAATTAAAATACCAAATTACCCCAATTAAAGATAAAATATATTATGTCCATTACAGTTTGACCCCTTATTTATTTTTTTTTAGTTTTATTCTAATAGATAGTATAATTATATACTAACTATAATTTTTTTTTAAAACCTAGATTTTTATTTTTATTTTTATTTCAATAAATAACATAATAGAACATGAATTTTTGCTATAAAATTCATGTTTTATTATGAAAGACTTAGATCCCTTGTTTGATTGTTTAGTTTATTTCAAAAGATAATATAATTGTATACTAATTACGATTTTTAAGAAAAAAATTAAATTATAAATTTTAATTTTATTTCAATAAATAATACAATAAAATATGAATTTTGATTATAAAATTTAAAATATTGATATTCTATTATTGATTGAAGTATTTTTTGTCTAAGTATAATTTTTTAAATTTAAAAGGTCTAATTATTATATACCTACAAACTTTAGAGGGATTTAAGTGTAATTTATTAACATATATATTTATATTATGGGTTTAAGTGTTACCCGGATAAATTTTAATGGGTTTGTGTGTAATATTTTAAATATTAGAGGACTTGAGTGATTAAGTGACAAATTTTAGGGGTCTGAATATAATTCTCTCGGGCAAAATCCAGTTTACCCCCTAGTGGTTTGGGTATTTTGCACATCACCTCCTTATGGTTCAAAAATCAGCACATAACCCCCTTGTGTTTTTGGACTAAAGTGCGACCGTTACTATTTTAGTCAAAAGTAATAGAAATTATAACACACGCACTAGATTTGCAAGTGTGGACTTTAAAAAATTTAAGTCAAATTCAAAACTCAATTTAAAAGTCCAAATATACCCTCGTGATCTTTCAAAAAGATTTTGTTTTTATTTTCTTATACATTTTACTGTTATAAAAAAAAATTTCTCATTTCTCATTTCCCTTTCCCCTTTTCCCGTCTCTGTGCCTCTCCAGCTCTCGCCTCTCGCCTGTTCCCTCTTCCTCCTCCTCCTCTCTCTCTCTCTTGTAATTGTTCTTGTGATTTTTGGTGGGGATGGTGGGGTTTTTCAGTGGGTTTGGGGGTGGATTTCAGAGGCTGTTGGGGGTGGGTTTTAGAGGCTGTTGAGGGTGGGTTTTAAGGGTTGTTGGGAGTGGGTTTTCAGGGGTTTGGGGTGGGTTTTTAGGGGGGTGTTGGGTGGGTTTCAAGGGGATGTTGGGAGTGGATTTTTGGTGGGGTTTAGGGGTGCTGGGTTGTTGTTGGTGGGGATGGGTTTTCGGTATGGGTGGTTGGTGGTGGGTGGTAAATTACAAGGAGAGCCTGGGAAGAGTGGGTTTGAGCAGAGAAGAGAGGGCAGTGACATTGCTGAATCAGAGTGAGAGAGTGAGAGAGAGGCAACAAGATATATAGTGAGAGAAAATCAAACTCTTGTTTAAGCTTGAAACTTGAATTTTTGGGTATTCAAATTTTCGAGTTCGGAGGTGAAGGAGGGCCTAATCCACCATTTTCAGGGTCAATGAATCCATTTTTGAAGTTAGAATCGAGAAAAAAAATGAGGTTTGGTGGGTAAAAAATTAAATTAAAAATCGTAACAATTTTTGAAAATGATGAACCCGTCACTTTGGAGCTCGATTTTCACTTACCTTGTGCATGATTTGGACAAACTAAATACATGGTTGGAAAGAGGGTAGAAAGAAGTTAAATTTAGGCATTTGAATCACCCAAAAAGGTTGAGAAACGAGGGAGAAATTAAGGGCCAAAGTTGGCCCAAATGTTAAAAAAAATCTGGTATATACATAACTTGTCAAAATGAGTTTGTGATCATCTTTGAACTTAAATTCGTGGGTCATGGGGGCTATTTAAGGAAACAAGTCCGTGGGGTTTAAAACTAGGTTGAAAGTGGACGATATTGACATTGGTTGGAGGAAGTTTAGTACTTTATGGAGAGAGAGAAAAACTTGTAAAATTAGGTGATTGATTGATTTTTTAAAAAATTATGCTACAGTTGAGAGGGAGGAAGAAGATGATGAATACTTGAGGGTACTAAAGTCATTTTACCACTTATGTTTACGGTGTTAATTGTGCATATGGGTCCAAAAGTATAAGGGGATAATGTGCTGATTTCTAAATTATAGAGGGGTCATGTGCAAAATACCCAAACTAGAAAGAGGTAAACTGGATTTTGCCCACTTCTCTCAATATAAATTGTTAAAAATTCCACCCAACCAGCTAACCCAAAGAAGCAAACATTTTGTTAACAAAAACTACCCCAATCCTGATACTCCGGATTACTCAAGACCAGCATGTTCTGAACATCTTGTTCTCAATCTCTAACTAGTAAGAACAATGTCCATGGCCTTGTTTTCATCTCCTCCAACCCACCTCCCCACTATCTCTCCACAGCCGCCTGCAAAAACCCTATTCACCCACAAGGCTTATCTATCTCTGAGAACCCAAAACCGGCTCTTGTTGGTGTCCACTAGAGCCACTGATAGTGGGTCTGGTGTGGCGGGCTCTACTGTAGTGGTGGAGGAGGAGAAGCTTCAGCAGAAGGTTTCTGAAGCACCTGTTTCCGGTTCAGATCCTAAATCGGAGTCACTTGAGGACTCTTTGGGCTCCAATGGGTCACCGGCGGCCACCGGTGCTCAAGAGGCGAAATTCGTCACTAAATTTGAGGACCCTAGATGGGTTGGAGGCACTTGGGATTTGACGCAATTTCAGAAAGATGGCAAGACCAATTGGGATGCTGTTATTGATGCTGGTCTCTCTCTCTCTCTCTCTCTCTCTCTTGGGGACTTGCATTTCTTCTAGTGTATAATAATAGTTCTTAAATTGTTAAATTTCTCTGAATGCTCTTGAGTTGGTAATCTTTTGCAAGTTTTTTGCTTTCTATAATTTATATTTGCAGCGCAACTAAGATTATTTGAAGTCTCTAATTGTGGTATTATATCAAGTCTTACAAATGACTTGAGGATTGAACTTCTTACATGAGTGCATGACTAGCTTCTTACATATAATAGTTTGGGTCATCTTTGTATCAAAGATTACCTCTTCATTAGTTTTGTACTATCAATCAATTTTTGTGGGGTTGGGTACCATTAAGTTCATAACTTTATATGCTAAGGAACCAAACAAAAAAGATTTTGTGACTGCAGTAAGGGGGACAAGTTGTTTATTACACGAGGCAGGTGCTTCGGTTTTAAGGTGCATGAGCTATGCTCTATTTAAGAAGGGGGGGGAAGCAGAAAGAAAGAACATTTGATACAAAATATAGCAGAAGAATACATCTGGATCTCAAGTTCTAAGATTTGTGACTGCAAATATGCTTCTTGGGCAGGATATATTGTGCTTTCACTCTCACTCTTTTTCTTAATTCAGATTTTATGTCACTTGTAGTGGAAATTGATTCATTAAATTGTTTGTTCCTCTCATTATATTTTGCCACCCAAGCATATTTCCTTTTCTTCACTTGGTTCCTTTCAGGATGCTGAAGGTTGGCTTAATGGATATATATAAGATCCAGATATTAATACTTCTGCATTCTTTTATTCTTCCCAGTACTTGAGAGGTTATTTGGCTTCTAATGGCCGACTTGACTAATTCTTTTCAGAGGTTAAGAGAAGGAAATGGCTCGAAGATGTCCCAGAATCATCCAGTAACGATGACCCTGTAGTTTTTGACACCTCTATTATACCTTGGTGGGCATGGGTTAAAAGGTTCCATCTTCCTGAAGCTGAACGGCTAAATGGTATGGCCAAGGCTTCTCCTTATTTTGAAATTAATGCAAAATAGAAAACTGTTCATTTCTGCCTCTACTGCTTCGATTTATGGTGCTTAAAATCTTTATGCAGGCCGTGCTGCAATGATAGGGTTTTTTATGGCTTACTTTGTGGATAGCTTGACTGGGGTTGGCCTTGTCGACCAAATGGGCAACTTTTTTTGCAAAACTTTGTTATTTGTATCTGTTGTTGGTGTACTGCTGATCCGAAAGAATGAGGATATAGAAAACCTTAAAAGGTTAGTGGACGAGACAACGTTCTATGACAAGCAGTGGCAAGCAACTTGGCAGGATGAGACTCCTAGCAGTTCCAAGAAAAATTAGACAAATTGCAGTTCTAAAGTTTTTCCTCCTAACTTTCTTGTTCTGTACTTGAGCAAATTGTATCACTGTTATTTCTCTGATAGAGGAGGGTGATGAATTGAATTTCTATCCTCCTTTTTTGTTCTAGGTCTTCGTGATCATCTTTGTATGCTCTGTTTTTGACAAGATCATCTTGATTTGGTGTATGTGTTCTTTGTTAATGGAATTTGGAACACAAAGGATGACACGGATCTGAAAATCGAAATATTGCCTTTTACTTGCCTCTGGCTGCATCTAGCTTTCTCTTTTGCATCTTGTGCAACTTAAGTTGGGTTCTTTTTCTTTTGTTTGCTGACCCCCCAAAATGACTGTTGAAGCATGCCCATAGAATTGGGTGAATTGGGATTTAAGAAATGCACTTGTCTGGAGGGATTGGTAGACATGGTTCAGTTTAAGAAAATTTCTTTGTACATGGTGCTAACATGGTTACAGAGGTCATTTACAGGGTAAAAGTTGAAGACGGTGACTCGGTCATTGTTCTTAAGTATGTTCAGTTTTTATCTTGTGATCACATGTAGGTAGACGGGTAGTCTTGAATCTCAAATACGAGATAGTTGAAGCATTGATTGTTTGTAGGACTAACATCCAATAGATGAAAGTATGCAAGAAAGGTAGGGAGGAGCTAGTGGAAGCATTATTGCATCTAAATGTAGAGAGACCAAATTAGATAAAACCCGAAACAACAACATGCTAGAATAAACATAATGTAAATATTACTTATTTGATTAATAATTTTGAATACATCGAGAATACATACATCACTAGTAAGCAACTTATTTTACTCATTAGTATAACATTATGATTGGTTATTTCAATCAATAAAAATGGTATTTTTACTCTAATCTATGATTCTATAATTTTATAAAAGCAGAAATATACCTAACCGTTGAGTCAAGTAGGTTAAGTCAGAGAAAACAGACCTCGGGCAAAAAAAAAAAAGAAAGTAGAAAAGGGCAAAAAAATTCTATTTTACTTAATTTATGAATATAATTTAGAGATTTAATGATTATTAGATTATTAGTGAGTCCGAATATTAAATATTCTTCGCTATTAATCTAATGGTCACGATGTCTCCAAATTAAGAGAAGAACTACTTGAATTGTTTTTATGGAAGAGATTGAATTATATTTATTAAACCCTTCTAAACCTAACCTTAGGTTATGTACATGAGATTAAACAATGTACCTTATTCAACCCCAAATTTAACATGTGATATAAATACATATAGGATTTATGAATTGATCACAAATATCACAAAGAATTTAATTCACCCTATGAGTTTTAATTCATTATTTATTACGGGCTATGATTCATTTATCCTATCAATATCGGGTTTCAAATCTTAAATCAATACATGATATAAAAATAGTGCATTGTATTATTTTCACAAAACATACCCTTCAAACTCCATCTAGACCCACATTTCAAAGATGTCATTAATAAAGATCAAAATTTTGTTTCGATATATTATTTAAATTATCTAAGAAGTAGAAATATTCCAACTCATTTCAAAAATATTTTGATATGTTTTGAAAATAAAATATAAACGAATAAAAAATTTAATAATTATTTTTTTAAAATATTAATCAAAGTATATCAAAACTTAAACATTTAAAAAAAATTGTATAAATACATCAAAATATTACGAACCTCAAAACATTATAAAATATTTTAAAATATTAGAATATTGAATATGTAATTATTAAAATTTTGATTCCTCCTAAAAAATAAAAACGTATCGACGCTTTCAACCATTTCAAAAGAAAATTTAATCCTTCGCCATTAGAGTTTTCTTAATCGTCAGCTGACTCACCTGCCACCCCCAAAAGACCAAAAAGGAGCAACAGACAAACAGCCACGAACTGGGTGAACTTGATCAGAAATCTGTGAAGCAGAGAGCCCAGGAACAGGAACAGCAAATCTCAGAAACAGAAACCCTCTGAGAAAAATGCAATCTTTGCCAGTCTCTTCATCCCAAATTGTCTTTCTGCTATCAATCACTCTGAGTAAACTCACCCACAAACTTCAGTTTATTCTCTTTCATTTTTCCTCTTTGTTTTGCTACCAATGAACATACTGATGAAGTTTCTACGTTCTATGAATCTCGAAATATTTCAGGTCTCCTCAGAGTAGCTGTTACCCAAGAAGGGTTTTGCTCTGCGCCGTCAATCATCAGCACTGACACCAATTCTCAACCTCTCTATTGGAAAGTCACAAACCCCACTCTCTCTCCTTCTCATCTCCAAGGTCAGTCCCCTGTTTGGTTGCCAATAAAAAATGGAAGGCAAAAACTGATAGAAGAAGTTGAATCTTATGTCTTAATGTAGTTTTCCTAACCCAGAAAAGAAAATGTGTTATGTTGTTTTTGGACTTTGGATCGAAGAAGTTGTTGTGTTGATGATTTATTTTGACATCATTGTTGAAGCTTATTTGGGTACTATATTATCCTGTCAGACTTGCCGGGGTTTACCCGCAGTGTGTATAAAAGAGACCATGCTTTAATCACACCAGAAAGTCATGTATTCAGCCCTTTACCTGATTGGTATATACAACTCAGCATCTTGATTTGTTTATTCTTTTGATTGTTCAATCCTCCTTGATTCATTATTTGAAAGGGTTTTGTAGGACCAATACAGTGGGAGCATATCTAATCTCTCCGGCAATGGGATCACACTTTATTATGTATTTAGCAAAGATGCAAGGTGGGATTGAATTTTCGATTGACTAGTGTTAGTGTTACATTTAAAATGTGTGTATTTTCTTGGTTTTCCATATGATGTGCTTCGAGTTTCATGCTGCTTGGCAGTCTTGTAAGTCGATGATACAATTGATTCAGCGATAACAATGCAAAGGTTTAATTTATGAATGATCTATTGCATTGTACTTTTGAGAATTATATAATGTTTAGACTGGGTCTCTAGCATAATTTTGTGCCGTATTCATATATGTATGAGTTATGACACTCGCATGATGTTTTTGGTTCTACACCTTATAATTGGTCACATATCATGGTTCCTGTAGGCTTTTGATCTGTGCTTTTGTTTGTTGTAGAAAATTCAAGATCAGAGCTCCCTTCAAGTGATGTTGAGAGGTGTGGGTGGTTTTCTGATTGTGTTAGGGAAAATATCTTCATTATAGAAAAGATCTGTTTTTCATATCTTAATAAATGGATAGCTGTAGAAATGAATGTATGTCTGGTTTGTTATGCACTTGATCTTCCTCATATTGCCTGTATTCTGTTCGCCAGGTTCATATTTGTGCTTGAGGGTACCGTGACACTCACCAATTTATCTGGCATTAGCCACAAACTTATAGTAAGAGAGTTCCTCTTTTTTCCTTTACCGATTGTGCTTTTTTAAAAAAAAATAAAATATTTAGACGCTCTTCCCTTTAAATCATTGAAGACTTTATGTGATGATCCTAGCCGACCACGTTAGTCATTTCATTGTCATCTATTGCATTTTAGATCATAGGTTGGTGACCAAGAAGAAAAGAGAAAATATTAGTATTCTATCCTTCGATTACGAGCAAAATCTGACATTGAACGCTTAAATAATCAATTATCCAATGAGGAACATTTAGGAGTTTACCATGCCTATGTTGTTAAGAAATGATAAACCCCTACTCGATCCCTGATCATGATCAGATTTGAGCCCTTGCGTCAGCTACTGAGTTTCTCTCTACGACCAAAAGAATGGGTCAATTTAGTAGCTCTGGTAATGTTGGGATTTAATACGCTTTAAACTCACAGTTAAACACACACAATCGAAGAACAAACCAATAATATAAAACAATGAGAAATAAGAAAGAAACAAGACACACAGATTTTACGTGGTTTGACAATTTACATTCATAAAGCTGCAGGAATTTTACTATAGAAAAGAAAGAATATAGAGGGCGGCTATACAATTCCAAATCAACCGTAATCACCAAAGTAGCAGTTTTTTTATGTCCTACGTACCGGACTATAAAACAAGCCTAAAAAATTTTCTCCAAGCCTCTGCTCCATAGACTAAGTCTCAAAAAAATTTTCATTAAAAATCATGCAACATTATTTCGGATCGGATCATCATCCAGATCAACACACAAATTAAACTCCACAAAAGCCCAATAGGTAAAAGGTTTGAAAACCCATATTTGAGATCCTCACAATATAAGCAAATTCCCACTGGCTCATAGTTTGGTATTTGTAGTGATTCCAATATTGCCTCTACTCAAAAGTTTAGAGTTTCTTTAATACCAGGCTTCTTGAATTTGGACAATGATGGTTTGGGGGGTTGTTAGAGCTGTGATATCCTATCATACTCAAAAGTTTATTAACATGCTACAAAAGTGGATAAAATACAGTGGTTGTGTTTGTTAACTTTGATCAATCATAGAAAAGTAAGAGAAAGAAGAACAGAATATTATTGAGACACAATAAGCCAGAACAATTTTAAAAGAAAGCTACATTAAAGAAAACTATTATATAAGATGTCTTTATATAGTAGGGCAAAAAGAAAACAATCAGACTAAGTTAGGGTAACATAAAAGTAAACAAAATGACTAAACTACCCCTAAGTCTAAATAATCTAACTACTCTAACATCCTCCCTCAAACTCATGGTGTAGTAGCAGAAAACATCAAGAGTTTGTCAAGAAGAAATCTGCTAGCTACATACAGTCTTCCCTTTCTACGGCATGTCCCAATCAACTTGTTGGACTGTGGATCTTGAAGGGCTTGAGGTAAATGAACCTACTAAAGGAGATACTGTAAGTGCACCAGGCTGATGGAGAGAGATTAACTTTTGCAACTGATTAGCAAACATAGTTAGGCTGGGTGCCTGTGAGGAGGACTCATCCATTGCTGGTGTTGCAACTGCTGACTAATTTGCTGCCCCCTTTGCTTTTTTGTTCATTAGTTTAGGGCATTGAGCCTTCCAGTGGCCCTTTTCATGACAGAAGCTACACTCATCTAAAGCTACACGACCCTGATATTTAGAAGTTACCGTGGGAGGCACAGGCAATACAGTCTGAGTGGGCAATAAAATATGACTTTTTCCAGAAAGAGTTTTAAGATGAACTTCTTCGGTCAAAAGCTCATTTACTACTGCATCCACTAAAAGAAGTGGATTACGATGAAGAATAGAACCACGAAGTTCCTCGAAGTCATCCCTGAAGGTCATCAAAAATTGCACCAACCTCTGCTCCTCTCTAAAAGTGCGATATATCATATGAGTACTCAGTTCAGCAGGTTCAGCAAGTGCTAACTGATCCCAATATCCAATCATAACTGAATAGAACTCCTGAATATTCTTATCACCTTGACATGCAGCTTGAATTTCATGCTCTAACTGATACCACTTTGCAAAATTAGACTGAACAAATAAGGTAGCTAAATAATTCCAAATCTTCTTGGTTGTATTAAACTTAGTCAAATGAACACCAATGATCTGATTAACTGAGTTGTTGATTTCCCAAGTATTCTTTAAGTCAACATATTTCTCGATCTTAGGATCAGTTGGAGTTGACGAATCATCACTAACATATCTCCACATTTCCTTACCCAATAAGAAATTTTTCATAACATAAGCCTAATATACATAGTTCTCACCTTTTAATCTGACACTGATAGTCTGAAGAGAATCAGAATTTTCACTGGGCATAATACCCAAATCAAGCAATCCAAAGCAAATATGAAGTAAACAAACAAAATCTAGCAACCCAACAACCTAACAACCCAACACCCAAATAACAAATAAGGGCCCAACAGAAAATCAAAGCTCAACAACTTTACAAATCAAATACTCATCTAGCCGTTCGTTCACAAAATCAGCCCCAAAGGCTCAAACTCACCGATCAGTAAGAAAGGAAACAAAAGTTTCCTACTTATTCAGTGCGAAATAATGCAAACAAACCCAAACAATACAACGCTATGTCAAATAACAAGTCCAAACAGACAATGCAAACAAACCCAGACAATTCAATGCTATGTCAAATAGCAAGCCCAAATTAACAGAAGAATAACCAAACCAGAACTAGCCCCAAACCAACAGTAGTCAAAATTAACAAACCCTAGTAGCTAGGATTTCTTACTTGCAAAGATTAGTTCAGCGAGGAAGACCCAACAACGAGAAGCACCAACAGAAGAGAAGAGGCAGCCAACGTCAAACAATGTAAAGTTCATCACAAATCAAGTCAACAATTTTGCAAATCAAATACCCATAACAGTCGAATTCGACACTGTTCACAGCGAATGAACAGTAACTTCAGTTCAGCACTGTTCACAGTCCTTAGAACCACAAAAAAAACCGCAAGGATGATGAAGTTCAGGTGGTACGTGGGACCTACAAGGGCCGTGAAGGTAAGGTCGTTCAGGTCTACCGTCGCAAGTGGGTCATCCACATCGAGTGCATCACTAGTGAGAAGGTGAATGGCTCCACCGTCAACGTTGGCATTAACCCTTCGAAGGTGTTGATAACCAAGCTCAGGAACCAAGCTCAAGCTCGACAAGGATCGCAAGTCTCTGCTGGATCGCAAGGCTAAGGGACGTATCGCTGTTGATAAGGATAAGGGGACTAAGTTCAGCACTGCTGAGGACATCATGCAGAACGTCGATTGCTTGATACATTGATCCATTCGTCAGTTTAATGGTATATCATTGTTGCTTTGAATTTGGTTTTGTTAGAAGTCTATAGATTTTATCACTGTTAAGGTAAGGAGAGTTCATGATTTGGACCTTGGAATTGGGGTTTCATGAGACTTGGATGTGCTTAACTTTGTTATGGATGGTAATTTTGTTTAATTTAGTACGTGCTTTATAATTCATTTGTTAAAAAAAAAATAAAAAATCAGCAACCCTAATCCAAGAATAAATCGCCATAGATGATTTCAACCCTAATTCAAGAATATATTCTTTCTCCAACTAAATTACTGTGGTACTATAATATATTTTGGATCGAAACCATGCTCTGATACCATGTTAATTTTGATCAATCATAGAAAAGTAAGAGAAAGAAGAATAGAATATTATTGAGGCACAATAAGCCAGAACAACCTTAAAAGAAAACAACATTAAAGAAAACTACTATATAAGAGGTTTTTAAATAGTAGGGCAAAAAGAAAATAATCAGACTACGCTAGGATAACATAAAAGTAAACAAAATGACTAAACTATCCCTAAGTCTAAATAATCTAACTACTCTAACAGTGTTCATATGGTATCGAAAAGCAGATCAAACATGGTGCATAATACTATGCATGGGTGAAATACTAGATATATGAACTATATTATCCTGGCTTATTTGCCAAGTGCGGAAAGTGGTTTTGCTTCCTTTATGATAATATCCAAAAGTTTCAATGTATAGTATGTGAGGAAATTAGCAAGGTGTACATCAATGTTTTAAGGACTGCTGTATTTTTCTTTCTGAATCTTATAGGTAGCAATGCAAACTTCCTATGTTTAATGTCTTTTAGTGCAAGCAACTGCAATAATTTCTTTTGCCAATAAAGCTTGATAAACTTTGGTCTAATATGCAGGTGGATTCCTATGCATATCTCCCTCCGAATCAAGATCATTACTTCAAGTGTGATGCATCTGCTTCTCTTGTTGCATTTGAAAGAAGGTTTGCTTTCCCCATGACTACAATTGTGGTTCTATCATGCCATTCATGATGCTGTTTTACTCCACGCGACAGGCACATAAGGGTCAGCCTGGCCTGACTCAGTTGTTAATCTGTTTTTTTATGTAGTGACAAAAGTTTCCCTTTATAGGTATGCATACCTTGAAAATCATGTTACTGAGCAGATTGTTGGATCAACAGATAAGCAACCCCTTCTTGAAACTCCTGGCGAAGTAAGTGGTCAATTAATTATTAAACATTTTACTGTCCAGCTCATTTTTTAACTTGAAACTGAAATAGAGAAGTTTCTATATTCACATTGCTCACTGACTTTCTTTTATTTGGTGTCATACCTTTTGATATTTTCTTGTTATTCCTAATTGTACAAGGAAACCTATTTTTAATTTATGTTGCTTCTTCTTTTCATCAGGTTTTTGAACTCAGGAAGCTTCTTCCCACTTCTCTGCCGTATGACTTCAACATCCATGTGAGCCACAATTTATTTTCTGGAGTTCAATTCAAGTCTTCAGGTTATCTAGGGTCATTACATGCAACTGCACAATTAACGCTTTATCTGATTTTTTTTATTTGTGTAATATCATTGTTTCTATACGAGAATATTAAATAGCAAGTAGACCTCTTTGAATGAAAAGGCCTGAAATCTTTCATTTTCCATCCTTTTAGCAGTACCTTGTTGGGTTTTTTGCATTTCATATTTTTCTGATTCTTGGTTGTAACACATTCTTTTGCTTTGTCTCAAAGTTAGGCTAGAACTAATTCCTTTTCTATATTTTTATATGGCAGATCATGGATTTTCAGCCAGGAGAATTTCTTAATGTGAAGGTATGATTTTTCCTTGCTGGTTGAGATAGTTATTTATCCCAAGGTCCTAGTTTGTTAAGTTTTGTTGTTCACCTTGAATTTTGTTACTTATGTAATGGACATGGAAGCTGATGGAAATTAAGTCTAAAACATTAAGTGAAGCCATATGTAATTTAAACCCTGGCTTCAAGCTAAACTCTAGTAACTCCATAAGCAGAATAAATCCATCGAAACTTTTTGAGGTTTAAGTTACATATATTTGCCTGTGGTTCTAATCTTCTGTAAGTCTTCTCTGATTTATTTTTGAGTCTTACGTTTCATCATGACTTGAGATTCTTCATGGTACTAGCAGTTAAAGTTAGTATGAAAGCTTTGGCTGCTTTGTTCTAATTCTTCAAACCTATGAATAAGTAGTAATACAATCCTAAGCCTTTACGTAAGTAACAAAACAATGTGTTTGGCTTGATGGTTTGGGCAGGAGGTGCATTATAATCAGCATGGTTTGCTGCTTTTGGAGGGGCAGGGAATTTATCGCTTGGGTGATAGCTGGTAAGGACCACATTCTAGTTTGAAACTCTGAGGATTTGCTTAATTTATTCTGGAACAGACGGATCTTGCAATTTATAATCATAAATTCTGTATGTTTGGACCTTTTATGAGCAAATTGGAAGGTGTTAAATCTTCTGTGTGTTGTGTGTGTGTGTGCCAGGTGGCTTTGTTCTTTCATTGGCAAAAGTTTCTTTAGAATTTTTTTGTAGGCACAATCCATGTTATAATCTACCTCTTATATTATTTTTTTTCATATGTATTCCTGAAATAGGTATCCAGTGCAAGCTGGTGATGCCATTTGGATGGCGCCTTTTGTGCCTCAATGGTAAGTGAGGGGTATATGACCTCATGTTTCTTCCTCCATGAAGGCCAATTGAATTAGCACTGATTAGTTTATGACCTTTTCAGGTATGCTGCGCTTGGTAAGACAAGGACACGCTATCTGTTGTACAAAGACGTAAATAGGAGTCCCCTGTAAATATATTTTCACATTATGTCGCCGAAACTTCAATTCTATGGTTCTGCTAATATTTGAAGCAAAAAACAAGCTTCCTAGTTGACATTGTATTTGCTGCATCATCCTCATGTTCAATATGGGTTAGTGTGGATTATTGTCTTTAGATTTGATAGACTAATACATGGGAAATGTTTTGCTCAAGGAATGGTACCTTTTTATTCATGCAATTGATTTGAGAGTGGTTGGCTTGACTTCATTGGAAGGTTGTTATAACATGGACTAAACAAGTTATTCATGTGTTTTTTTTTTCTTGATACGCAACGCATCTGTTGTATATTCTGGCCTGAATAAAACATCCGTTGCTTGTATGTGAACTATAGATTGCTTCGGCTCAAGAGTAATACAACCTTGATATTATAATTGTTGAAAATTGCCGACTCTAGGGCTTGAGAAAAACTAGAACATGACAATGAAACACGTAGCTTTACACCTTATTGCATTGGAATGCAAGCACGTCATCACTCAAATTTAGAACAATATTTGCACATGGAGATCCAGATGAACAATAAGGAAGCAGAGGATGAGATTATTGTTGCCTGTAGAACTTAGAAAACATAAGGTCATCTTTCTGAATTCTCTACATGGTTGCAAAATTGAGTACAATAAAAGGTGGTGTATGACAAAGAGGACTTGCAAATGAGGGGCAAATTACACAATACCAGAAGCCCCCAATACAAAGCAGAAGAACAACCAATTCAATCAGCTCCCCCATTGACGTTGAGCTTTATTTAGATCTTCATGACACGTTCTATTCTTCGAAACCACAAGGGTACAGGCTTTTCCAAGACTGAAACATTAATGTGGTTCCAAACATCTGGTTTTGTGGGCAATTGAGCAATTTTCTCTGCAATAACCATGTCTTCTGGAAGAACAGTACCAAAAACAGTGTAGGACTTTTCCCACTCTGTATGTTTTGCTAAGCTTATGAAGAATTCAGGACCAGAACCAACCAATGCAACGGAACCTCTTCTTATGGTTGGACAGACCTCGGTGTGAATCTTGTTGAATGTGCTTCCTTGGGCTTCAAGTGTTCCTTGAATGAGTGCAAATGGAGGGCCAAATGAAGCCTGCAAGTTAGGAAACAAAAAGGCGATTCATTAGAAATATGAAAAATTTTGATGTCGAGAAAGATTACAAAGGTTGACAAGCACGACGAATCAATGTGAATGGAAAATGTTTTCAAACTTTGTCAAAGGTGCAGAGATGCTGCAACGAAAGAGTCAAAAAAAATGTTGCAAAAAGCTTCATGATTTCTCATCTCATCGCGACTACTTTGTTGATATGGCTATATGTTATGTGTGTGCTTGGAAGATACTATGACACCTAGGGAAGAAACATAAATGAAGTCTTACATCTTTTATGTGGTTTCCTTCTGAATCCCAAGATTGCCCCCGACTTTCTGCACGATAAAAGTGGCAACCCGCGCAATGGCGCAAACTCAGCAACTCAAGAATATAGGCAACTGAACGCGGGGCACACTCGGGCAAAAGCTGCACCAAACATATTTTTTTCAGGAAGAAGAAAAGAACAAGTAACTATCAATATGTTAAATTTATTTGTAGGCAGCAATATATAGAAGGAAAATTAATAATATTTCAATGTCCTAGATGGTCAAGACTCCAAAACCGAAGCATCTTTTGGTGAAATGTTTCTTTCATATCATAAGCCATTGATCAAAATTTCCGATGGTTTTAAAATACATAGATAAAATTATTGGAGTAATAGTAACCTTAATTCTTCGAGACCGTCAACAAGGAAAGAAAATGGCAAATGAATTGATAACAAGAGGTTTAAAGTCAAACATCTGATACTTTACAGACTCTAATCATCAAGAAGAACGCGAATTTTAATGGATTGGCAAAAAGGCTGGCTTTTCTAAGANTTGATAACAAGAGGTTTAAAGTCAAACATCTGATACTTTACAGACTCTAATCATCAAGAAGAACGCGAATTTTAATGGATTGGCAAAAAGGCTGGCTTTTCTAAGAACCTTTTAAGTAATAGAAATGAGAAAATAGGTAAACAATCAATGTTAGGCAGCTCTTACAACTGCAGGTATACAATTGGCAATGACACAATAAAATGACCCACTCACAGTAATTTTGGGACTCTTGTCAACCTAACTCCTGTGACACAAGAGTCCAACACTTGCAGAGATACTTACAAAAAATAATTTGCTTTTATTTTATTCAGACAGCTAAGGATGAAAAAAAAATTATCTAGCCATCTTGTTTCTAGGGTGCTTTTGCATATCGTTCATTCTAAGATGGGGACACATACATAATTCAATTCAAAAAATTCTCTACCATATGCACATATAAGTGTGTCCTCATTGTCAATAGTCTTGCGAAGTACCCTACAGACATCTCATGCATGTGCCAAGAAGGGGCATTATTGGTCATATCGACAGATCAAACATATTGGCAATACATTTAAATGTTTGAACCTATCTAGCTACATCGTATAAATAACAACCAAGTGTCGATGTTTTCGAATTCCATCATCGAAACATAAACACCTATACACAAACTGAAAAATTGAGCACATACCTTTATATGAAGAGTACCATATCCTGTTTCCAAGCCAATAATGCCCTACAGTGAGGAAAAGAAGAAAAGGTCAGGAATAAGCAAAATCTATGAATAAACAAAACTTTATTTTTTCTTTTTTCAAAATTGCTACTCCTGATAAACAAAACCTATTAACAGCAAGAGAGCCCAAGATCTAGATGGACAAAGACATTCCATCATGCACAGAGAGGCCAAATTATTCCAGCAATGATTCAAAAAGGTTATTGACCCAATTGATGTACATAGAGAAGCACCAGTGTAAATTAGAAAAATAGGGAATCCATGATTGTGAATATATTATAACTTTATATCACCTACATGATTTTCAGATCCTCAATGAACAGTTTAGAGAATTGATTCTGCATATCTTGGATACTAATCTATACAGGTTCAGTACTTTACAAAATGAAGACTGTNCCTCAATGAACAGTTTAGAGAATTGATTCTGCATATCTTGGATACTAATCTATACAGGTTCAGTACTTTACAAAATGAAGACTGTCTTACCAATTTCATGATATGAATCTATCTTGAAAGATAGGCAGTTAGACATCATAAAGGGTAATCATTGCAAAATGTATTCCTCATGCCAAGAAACTGACATTTAAGATATCATAAACATCTAACTAGGATTTGTTTCTCGAGCAACAATGTTTGCTATGCATGGAGAATTGAATAATTTGGTTACTTGTTAAGAAAAAGTAAAATAACTTAAATCATCCAAAACTGTCAACAAAGTCAGATACCTGTCCTTTTCCAAAAATAACGCCAGAAGTCCACATGACTTTGTTTCCTGCTTCCTGCTGATCAGGAGTCAAGGCATCCTTCTGTTTCTTCAGCCAGCACTACACCAACAAAAACAAATGACCTCTTAAACTATGCAACGACAACACAGGCTACCATGTAAACGAAGTTTTATGTTTTCTGCTCCAAAAATGGGGCAAATTCCCGACACCCCCCCCTCCCCCACATACCAAAAAAAAAAAAAAAANAGGTAGCACTGGAACTAAATGTATAAAGCCCAATCTTTCACTCCCTTAGTGAGTACTTTTGCAATGTATTACACAAATTTTTTTTCATTATCACCAACTGAATCATATCATTTGGAGGAATTGCATGATTAACCCTTTGTACATGACAGGGGCAATGTCAAATCAATCGGATATGTCGATTATACACAATCTTTAATCTTAAATCAAGTTCCAACACATAATAGCACATAAAAGTCAAATCAGGGTTTCCAATGAAACCATTCCACCATGACAAACAATTTTAACAGAACACACCCAATTCAATATACTAGCCAGCTATAAACCAAAAGCTAAAAACACATAAATCCAATTCCACCAAAATCAGTCAATAATGGAAAAAGAGGTATCAAATTGCTATTTTACCTCTCCGAATTTCGAGCCACAAGCCTCTCGATTGCCACAAAACACCCATGTATCACACAAACAAGGCCCATCATTACCACTACACATGGCCTTGCAAGCTTTACAACAACCCTCAGAAGAATTGAACTTGAATTCTGTACCCCACTTCACAGCAGCCCCCCAAAGCTCTAAATTCTCAATTCCTCTACAACACTCACTCAATTCACCACCACTACCATCAAAATCCAAAGACTCAATCTTTAAAACTGAAGAATTGTTGGCGGGTCTCAACACCCCTGACAGGAACATGTAGGCCACTGAACAAGAGGCCAGACCAATCAAGAGGAGGGCCATAGACGCCCAACGGGTTTGCTCGGAATCACTTGGCTTCCGACCCATTTAAGATCAATTGGTGAGGAGCAAAACCAACAAATGGATTGGGGATTCTCTGGATTGGTTTGTTAGATTTGTGGTGGAGGCTTGAGGGATCGTTGACCTGAGAAACAGAGGTGGCTGAGTTCGAAATTCGAGTGTTTTATAGTAAGGCATAACTACAGAAATCTGTAATAATTAAACAGAGGTTATGTCTAGAGGCTGTCATGGAGAACGACAGCGGTACTAATTTCTGACACCGGTATATAAAATTAACGGATTAGAGTTAATTAATTTTTTGTTTTGAATTTGTATATAATATAATTCGTTAATACGAATAATAAATGAATTAAATTAATGTTAAATATAAATAATACAAAATTGATGAAATTAATATGTTAAAATAGTATTATAAGAATAAAATATTAATTTTTACTATATTTTATTTTTACTTATTATTATTATTATATTTATTAAATTAATTTTTAATTTATAAAAAAATATATGAATAAGTTCAATTAAGTGATCATAAAATTTTAAACATAAAATTGAGTGTTAAATTTTTTATTCACTGGTTATATAAGTCGATACAAAAATAAATAAGTCGATATGATATAATACGATTAATTAAACCAATTCAATTAAAATTGATTAAAATAACATAACGATTTCCCCTGGTTAACGCAAAGTGAATCAAAACGGTATTTTTGATTTTCCTAATTTCTAACTTCCTTCCTTTTTCCTTGGAGTGTGGAAGGTGACGAGGAATCTCAGGATACAAAAGAGACAAAAAACGACGTCGTATAGGAAAAGATTCTGGAACTTTTTATGGCTCTTTTGGATCTAAAATCTGTAGATTATTGATAATAATAATATTATTTATATTTAATTTATTGATCTAATTTATCACCATGGTTGACAATCTTAATGAATATTAGTGTTGGTTGTGAGTCTTATAATCGCATTGATTGATTCTTATCTGTAGTTATTGTTTGGAAAATTTTCATAATGCATTTATTACTCTTGACTTACATAACAAAAATAGAAAAAAATTACGGTGTACAAATTAAAATTCAAATCTCCCATCCTAAATGCATTTACACCTCATATTTAATGAAAAAAATTTAATTTTTTGGGACCCACAAAATGAAACGTAAAATGCAAATGCATTTGAGATAGAAAATTTGAATTTTGATTTGGCCTTCCCATGTAGTTAGGTTACTAGAGATTTATCTCTCATGAATATCTTAATCTCAGTGTGAATGATCTGTTTTTGATTGGTTTGTGAAAAAAATTAATCGAGACGTAAGTAAATTGACTTGAACACATCAGACCATTAAACTAAAAAAAAAAAAGAAAAGCTAATTTACTTTTGTTTTGCTACCTCTAATAGATTGTGTGGATAGCTATTCATAAATACCCCGGGGCAAAAGGTTAGGTTAGGTTAGGTTAGGCTGTTTGACTTGGTTCCCTTTGGAACATACTTGTTCCAATCTACTTGGGTGAATTATATTTTATACCATGAAAGATTTTAAAGATTAACTTTATACCTTTAAAGATAATTTTTTTATATTACAATTTTAATATATTAAAAATGTTGTAATTTGACTTTTTTGTTAGTTTATGTTATTTTTTAGTCAAAATCTCTCCAAAAAAAAAATTAACAAACTCTAACAGAAGGGTCAAATAATAATATTTTTTTTGATACATTGAGGGTACAATGTAAAAAATTTAATCTTTAAATATATAAAATAAAAATTCTTAAAGCTTTTGGAGTGCAAGTGTGATTCCTCCTCCTGATTAACAAGATTAAAGTGTCACAGGTGAGTTTAAATTTTCTGGCGAAATTTAAAAACGTTCGAGTAAATTTGATAATAATAGAATGGTTTAATTGAGTTGTATTGTGTCATATATATACTAATTATTTTTCATGCCTGAAGACATGAAGTAATAAAAAAAATAGTCGATAATATATATATTTGTATTTACACTCAAAATCAAATAACAAACAAAGAGGAAAAAAAAAAAAAAATTTATGCACCAGTGTAACATTGGTGAGTGATGGTAGTGGTGGTGGTGAGAAACAATGATGAATGTAGTGGGTGATGACGACTGTAATGGTGGTGGCAAATTTTAGGTGATGATGATGATAGTGACAGTCATGGGTGATGGTAATTGTGGTGATGGTTGTGGGTGGTAGTGGGCGACAGTGATGGTGTTGGCAATGGTGGTGGCGGTGGTAGTGGGCGACAATGATAGTGGTTGGTAATGGTAGCAGTGGGGCATTGACAATGGTGGTGGCGATGATGGGTTGTGGTAGTGGGCGGTGACAATGGTAGTGATGAGCGACAACGAGTGTTTTTGGGCGATAATGTGATGGGTGGTGGCAAATGACGATGATGGTGGTATGTGTGATGGGAGTGGGTGAGAGTGGATGGCGGTAGTGGTGAGTAATGACGGATAGTGGTGGTAAATGTAATGGGTGTGGGTGATAGTGTCTAACAACAATGGTGGGTGACGACGGTTGACAACAATGGTGGTGATAGGTGTTGACAATGGGCAATGGTGGTAGTGGAATAATGATGGTAGTTGTAATAAATATAAGGATGACATGACGATAGTGGTGGATCGTGGCAGTGGACGACAGTGGTAGAAATTGATGATAAGTGGCGATGTTAGGGGTGGAGGTGGGGTGGCTATAGTACTGCTAGTGGTGATGGTTGTGGAGTGTTGGAGATGATGGTGGTAGGGGTGATGATTAGACACTAGCAGTGATGGTGGCGACAATGACGATAGTGTTTATGGGGCAATGGTGGTGGGTGGTAGTAATGATGGTGGTGGAGGTGGTGGTGGGTGGTGGCAGTAGTGATGATGGTGGTGGTGGTGGTGGTTGTTGTGGCAAAGGTGGCGACGGTGATCATGGTGGTGGAGCGGTGGGAGGTGGTGGGGGTAGTTGTGGTGGCAGTGGTGGTGGGGTGATGGGAGTGGTGGTGGTGGTAGAGTAGTTCTAAACACTATTTTTTTTATGAGAAATTATAAGTTTTAGAAATAATTATAAAAAGCCACTCCAAAAAAATCTTAGGAATTAATTTTTTCTATTTAATTTAGAGTGTTAATATTAGTTGTCAGATCAACTTTAAAGTTAAATTTAAAGAGATTTCAACCGTGAAAAACAAAAGTCATTTTATTTATCTTTTAAAATTTGAATTACATTATACTTTTTTTATATACCGTTATATATATATATATATATATATGAGTTCATGATTAACAAATTTGAATGTATTTTTTGAGTTCTTGGATTTTGACTTGTCGACAAATGAACCATCTCGACCTTGAGATTTGAACGAACTTGGTTAAATTTTATTGCTTATATTTCACTTTTTGCATGGGTTATGGTACTTATCATAGTAATTAGGGTTGTTACAAAACACCATGGAAAACATATTTATATGCATTTGTTTGTATCAATTAAGTAATTTTAAAGTTGATGATCATTTGAATTTGTACATATATTAACTGTTAGGATCAGAGCTATTATCTCAATTATACTTTTGGATCAATCGCAAATCAAGGAGGAGTATTTATCAGTGATTCATGTGAGAATTTACAGCTTCATAACAAATGGAAATAAAAGTATATGATATATCAATCTTATTTTCTTGTATGTGATAAATTAATTTTGCCAAATTGATTTGGGTTGAGTTGCTTAAATTATGGATCAAATTTATTTTTATGAAAATCTTGTGATTTTAGTATTATTCATTGTGTCGAATTGTTGATAGTTTGACATGATTTACATGTTGTTATTTTAAACATTGCACAATTTTTGTGAGATAGTTTGATATTACTTAAATATTGTAAATAATTTGGCATTGCTTAAATATTATTGTTTGAATCGTTGCTTATGTGGATATTTATTAGGTTGATATATGAGATTGATTTTGATAGAGTAGTATACTAAAAACTTATATTTTGTAATGTAGCTCGTTTTATTAATTAATAAAAGTTTGTTCTTTCTATTTTATTGAGAATCTATATAGGCAAAATATTTGTATTATATTTAATATATGATATGCATGTATGTCTTATATTTTACATTTTAGATAATCTGCTGTGTGGAGTTCGACTTATACACAGAAGATTAGATTATCGGATCCTTTATATAATATGAGTATATATATGTTCATAATCTTAGATAAAATTGGACACACTATTAGTATGATTGTAGTGTAATATTCTGGCATAGTCTATCTTGACTATAAGAGACCGTTTGATGTTTTGAATTATTGCACTAGTACACTTTATGTATTAAACAAACTCATGTTGAGGTTATTATCTTTTACTGATTCAAAAAGATAATAAATATCTCATGATTATTATGATTGCTTATACTCTTAATCCCAAAATATTTAAATGCCACTTGCATATAATGTTTGTTACTTTAATTCATCAAAATATGATATTCATATTGAGCCAATAAGCTCGATAAATTGGGAGAAGATGTTATTTGTATGGTAAAAATTAAATATTAAAGGAAATCGCGTCCTAGTATTTAAATAGGTTAATGATATTCTCTTGATGAAGCTCAAAAATTTTGTCCATGTCAAACCCTGCAGATAGATTTAATTATCCAATATGACAAATAAGTTAAGTGATAAGGTCTTAAAAAATAAAAGAAGTTAATTAAATATAATTATCAGTAATTTATTTAATTGATGAATATCTGTAATCTTAAATGTTGGGAGATTGTTAATCATATAATAATAAAGAACTCGAATATAATTTTGAGATAATGTTCATGAGATCAATAATAAATTTTTAATTGACTGACATAGGATTCTTGAATCCATTGGAAACCCGGTCCTTATTTCTCCTTAGGGTCTCTATCGTAACCTATATATAAATGTTTAAGCTCTCTTACTCATCATTTATTCTTTACTCACGTTTTTTAGAGAGGCTAAAAAAGAGAAAGGATTCTGAGATCTTGACAGCCCAGACTGCATCTAGATTCCGACGATTTGGGAAATACTACAAAAGGCCGCGAGATTCATCGAGCTATCCTTCGGTTGCTCGTTGATTCTGTTCTGCGTTCATGTTAAGAAGATCCCGAAGGATATCGAAGATAAACCCTAATTCCGCCTTGTATGGTATTAAAGGAAAATTTTTNTATCCTTCGGTTGCTCGTTGATTCTGTTCTGCGTTCATGTTAAGAAGATCCCGAAGGATATCGAAGATAAACCCTAATTCCGCCTTGTATGGTATTAAAGGAAAATTTTTGATATTCGATACATATGCGCTGTCAACGACTATTGAGATTTCCGTTCCAACAAATTTGAGTTTAAAAATGAGTTGCGTTCACTTTAGTGGTGTTTTGCAGGTTTTGAGTATCTTTTTGATAACATTATATTTCATCCATATTTTTGTTATATTTCATTTGATTATGATATTCAGCACCCTTAAGAAATTTGTTTGTTTTTCAGGATGTCGAACTCTAGAGTAAGGTCTACTACCGCACTAACATGATTTTTTTTTTTGAGCAGCTACTAACATGATAAATATGAGGAAAAATTAAGGAAATTGGTTATGTACAATTTGTACATGAGTGTTTGTTTTTTCCTGTTACTATAAAATGATGATATTTCTAATCTTTTATTTTGGTACAAGTAACACCATTGTGTATTATATTATATAGTATTAGGTGACATTATTGATTGTAAATGTATTATTACATTATAGACGCATGTATTATTACGTGTTAAGTCATGTTTCCATCTCTAAAAAACGAAAGGGATCTCCCGGGATGAAGTGTGACACTAATATATACTATCTAGTTAAGGCTACTTCAATCTCAGACATTTGGACATATTATATTATATCTATAACACCATGATACAAAGTTATTATCTCTTGCTTTCTACCTCTCATCCCCTGTAGACAATTTGAGGTATTGGGGGCAATTTAAAGCCTCCACAGACTACTTTACAATATAGAGCTGAAAATTTATTCCCAACTATAGATTATGATTTGTATCTTAACTGCGGATTTTGATTTGAGTTATTTGTAATTATTGATTGTAAAAATAATAAAATAAAGAGTCTTTATATTCGTCACATTTTATTCGATAAAAAGAAAAGATAAGATTACATAAATACTCTTATGACTCTTGCATTATTTTTATGAATACTCTCTCTCACACGCAGAAAACACACAAAGTACAAGAGCAAGAACAACCACACAAAGTACAAAGAGCAACAACAACCAGATTAATATCTAGAGATATGCTAACTCCAAAGGATCATAAGCCACTGAAGCAGCAAAACAAGCAAGGAAAGTGCATCATCATCTCATGGGAAATTCAAATCTGCAGCAAAAAAAAAAATTGAAATTAATTAAGCAATTTGAAAGAAAGAAAAGTTTGTATTTTTGACACAAGAAATTTGTTGTGCATGCACAAAAACTCAGACATGTAGGCCATGTTTATTTTATAGGGTATTGGGCGGGATTGCCTTGGACGATAGGTGAAGTAGTCCCTCAAAATATATAATCTAACTTGGGCTCACTAAATAATTGAATACTATCAATCCCATGTTTGATTGGAGAGAGAGAGAGAGAGAGAGAGAGAGAGGGCTTACTGCCACATTTGAAGTGACGTGGAACCCTCCTTCCACAACCTTGAAGTAGCTTAATGACCCGGTGAACACCGAGGATGGAAGCCAGTTTGGGGGTGAACATAGGGCAGATGCACTCGAAGTGGCTGATCCTCACACGCTGGCAACACACAGGCGTTGCCGGCTGCCCGAACACTACCGGCCGGCATGCGTTGGTCAGGAGCTGTCTCTCTGAATTACACTGGCTAGGGCTCAATTGCCCGCCATTAGCATGCACCATTGTCACCTCACCCAGTATCACCATTGTCATCCCAAGCAACATCATGAAGGCCCATGCACACCTTCTCTCCATGACCAACCTCTCTATATATTTTGTTTACTTGACAATCCCACCAAGACACATGTACCAGAACCCCACTGACCCACCTATAAATAGAGTCCTCAAAGCCATCAAAAAGGCAAAATTAAACCCAAATTCCCTAATCACTTAGACGGTGTTACACGTACAAATTTTAAAAGATTTATGTATAATATTTTAAATGTCTTAATAAATTATATTTAGACTCGTTGAAGTTTGCAGGCATGTAATTACCTAGACCTCCTAAGTTTAAAATATTATACTTAGACTCCTTATTTGTTACGAAACTAACGGAATCTATTAAACGATCAAATTAACTCAATTAATTATAGAAAATATCGTGTCTATTACAATTTGACCCTTATTTATTTTTTAGTTTTATTCTAATAAACAGTATAATCGTATGCAAATGACTATTGAGTTGAGTTTCTGTGATATATTTTTATTGATTACTATTTTTTCCTTAAAAATTGAGATTTTGTTTGATTTTCATATCAATAGATGATATAATGAAATATGCAAATGTATTAATTAGGCTTAGTTTATATGTTCATACTTAATGATGAAAAAATTGATCAAAGGTAAAAAGTCCATTTAATCCAACTCCAACCTATCCTATCAAGAATTCTAATTTAATAGAATTCTATATATCATGTATAAGCTAAATTTCATCGCACGGATAATATTAAATCAGCGTATAAAAATAAGAACCTAATAACTCTTATAAATAGAACTTCATTGATGTTCTATGTATGTCTTTCCGAGCTTCTAAACGTATTTTATACCTTTGAGTCACTTATTGACTTAGACATCGGAGAGTCGACCCCTGAAGTTCTCCTCCGGTCTACGACTTTTTTTTTTAGGTGATTGAAGCCCAATAAATTAACATAGAGGCCATCTAAATTTTGGCATCAACAGTACTAATTATAATTTTTTTTTAAAAAAAATTATATTTATATTTTTAATTTTATTTTAATAAATGACATAATAGAACTTAAATTTTAGTTATAAAATTTAAAATATTTGATATTCTATCTTTAATTAGAGTATCTTTTATTTAAGTGTAATATTTTAAACTTGAGGGATTACAAACTTCAAATTTTAGAGGTTTAGATATAATTTATTAACGGATATACTAACAGACATTAATGACAGGGGTCTATTTGTTACACGTGTACAAATTTCAAGGAGTTTGTGTATACTATTTTAAATTTTAGGGAATCTAAGTGATTAAGTGACACACTTCAACTTCTTAAAATNGGAATCTAAGTGATTAAGTGACACACTTCAACTTCTTAAAATAAAAATTTAGAGTCCTCAAGTCAACATAAAGCTTCCCCAGCTTAGACGGAAGATCTTGTCACCATATATCAATTAAGTTGAATTATGTCACGTTTGAATAGTATCATTTTCTCATTGTGGCATGTCTTGTAAACTTTTTGTCATGCTTTTGATTAGAGAAATAACAAGTGAACTCGACACTCTAATGATGTGTTTGATCGGGTGGATAAAAAAATAAAAAGATCNAGACTCCTTATTTGTTACGAAACTAACGGAATCTATTAAACGATCAAATTAACCCAATTAATGATAGAAAATATCGTGTCTATTACAATTTGACCCTTATTTATTTTTTAGTTTTATTCTAATAAACAGTATAATCGTATGCAAATGACTATTGAGTTGAGTTTCTGTGATATATTTTTATTGATTACTATTTTTTCCTTAAAAATTGAGATTTTGTTTGATTTTCATATCAATAGATGATATAATGAAATATGCAAATGTATTAATTAGGCTTAGTTTATATGTTCGTACTTAATGATGAAAAAATTGATCAAAGGTAAAAAGTCCATTTAATCCAACTCCAACCTATCCGATCAAGAATTCTAATTTAATAGAATTCTATATATCATGTATAAGCTAAATTTCATCGCACGGATAATATTAAATCAGCGTATAAAAATAAGAACCTAATAACTCTTATAAATAGAACTTCATTGATGTTCTATGTATGTCTTTCCGAGCTTCTAAACGTATTTTATACCTTTGAGTCACTTGTTGACTTAGATAACGGAGAGTCAACCCCTGAAATTCTCCTCCGGTCTACGACTTTTTTTTTTAGGTGATCGAAGCCCAATAAATTAACATAGAGGCCATCTAAATTTTGGCATCAACAGTACTAATTATGATTTTTTTTTTTAAAAAATTATATTTATATTTTTAATTTTATTTTAATAAATGACATAATAGAACTTAAATTTTAGTTATAAAATTTAAAATATTTGATATTCTATCTTTAATTAGAGTATCTTTTATTTAAGTGTAATATTTTAAACTTGAGGGATTACAAACTTCAAATTTTAGAGGTTTAGATATAATTTATTAACGGATATACTAACAGACATTAATGGCAGGGGTCTATTTGTTACACGTGTACAAATTTCAAGGAGTTTGTGTATACTATTTTAAATTTTAGGAAATCTAAGTGATTAAGTGACACACTTCAACTTCTTAAAAGAAAAATTTAGAGTCCTCAAGTCAACATAAAGCTTCCCCAGCNGAAATCTAAGTGATTAAGTGACACACTTCAACTTCTTAAAAGAAAAATTTAGAGTCCTCAAGTCAACATAAAGCTTCCCCAGCTTAGACGGAAGATCTTGTCACCATATATCAATGAAGTTGAATTATGTCACGTTTGAATAGTATCATTTTCTCATTGTGGCATGTCTTGTAAACTTTTTGTCATGATTTTGATTAGAGAAATAACAAGGGAACTCGACACTCTAATGATGTGTTTGATCGGGTGGATAAAAAAATAAAAAGATCAAAAGTGAGAGCAGTATATTTTCTATTTTTTTAAGAAAGGAATCATTCTTTCTCTTTTTCGTATTTGGTAAGAGGAAATAGAAAGTAAGAAAAATTGATTTTTTTTTTTTTTTTTGTGTTTAGTAAGATTAAAAAGTGGAATGATGGAAGAAATATAAATACATATTTTATCATTATATCTATATACATAATTAATGCATACATAATATGTCATAAATAAATATATATATATATATAACATACATTTTAACAGATATAATCAATTTTTTATTCACTTTTTCTCTCAATTTTAAAAAGATTGATTTTGGTGAATTAAAAGGAAAATTAATCTATCAACTTTTTTATCATTCATATTTTTTTTTTTCTTATCAAACATGATTTTTTTATCTATTTTTCAAATTTTTCATCCTTCCAATTTTTTATTTTTTACCTTACCAAACAAAGTATAAGATAAATACCCTTTTTCCCTAAATCATATTCACTGCATCCAAATCCTTTATAAATTCGGTATCATCCGGTTTCATATTCTATCAAAACCAAATCAAAAGATTTCTAATTGTATGACAATTGACAAAATACTTCTGTTTCGTTTGGTTGGAAGTATGAAAAGTAGTAAGGATGAAAAGTAAGAGAGATACATCTTCTATTCTTCAAGGAAGAAAAGTAGGAAAGATACACTTTTTTTTTTTTTTTTTGGTGTTTGGTTCGATGGATGAAAACTAAAAATAATTAATTAATTTTTTTTGGTGTTGGCTAAGTTTAGAGGTGACGATCGAGTCGTGTCAGATTCGTGTTGAGTCAAATCATTTTTAAGTTCGTGACCAGATATAATCAAGTTCGTGTCATAAAATTCGTGTCGAATTTGAATCGTTTCATTGTGTTGAGTCGTAAATTTTTACCCTCAGCTAAGATGGAAAAATATATTTTTTTAATTTGAATTTTTTTTTTTATTTTTCAATAAATACATATTTTATTATTGTATTTTTATAAGAAATTAATATATACATAATATATATATATATATACTAAAAGATATATAGACAAATAAGATATATCTCAATACAAATAATTAACTTTCCTTTCGAATTTGAAGAGATTGATTTTGGTGAGTTGAAAAAAAAATAAATTCATTCATTTTTTTATCCTCCCTATTTTCCTTCCTTACCAAACATGATATTTTATTTATTCTTTCACCTTTCCATCATAGCAAATAAAACATTAATCAAGACATAAAGCTTTAGAAAATCAAAAAAAATAAATTGTGTGCCTATAAAACTAGTTAAATTAGTTTATCGTGTTAAAATTGTTATATTTAATATTTTAATTTAATTTTTCCATTAAATTAAAACTGTGTCATGGTTAGGGACGAAACCATTAGTGAGCTATGGTGGGGTGCAGCCCAGAGTAAAAAAAAAATAAAAAATTATCACTTTCATACAACGCTATCGGTACCAGTCCACTAAATCACTAATCATTAGCCCAATTTTTCAAAACCTTTAAGGCTTAGGCTCCAATAATCATAAAAAGAAAGAGTTTTTCAAGGTTTTCTATTTCTATTTTGATCGGAACAGAGCGGAGATTATACAGGGGTGGAGGGACAGCTGAGTCAGGATGGGCAAGTGCCCCCCTCAAAAAAAAAAAATATTAGTAGGATATATGTATTATATATTTATATAATATATTATGTGTGCCCCTCATTTATATTAGACCCACATTATTTATCCAAAAAAAATTAAAAAATTTAACCCATTTAAAACAAAATAAATTGAGTCCAATATTATCTATCCCAACTTATTAAAATCTACCCAAAAAACTTTAACCCAACATTAAAAAAATAAATTTTTTGGCCTAACATTAAAAACAAAATTTTTGGGCTACAATTAAAAAATATTTTTTTTGAGTCAACATTAAAAACAAAATTTTTGGACCACATAATATATTAAAAAATATTTGTATTTTGTTAGTCATACAAATGTTTACCTTAATCCGAAATAAACAAAAATCTTAACTCCGTCCTTGATCAGGGTAAAGATAGAACATCAACAATACTATACACACTATCTTCCTGCACCAACTTAAACATACACCATGAGATTATTAAGTTCTATAAAAATTATCAAACATTCAATGATTGTGATTATACCATGTGCGTGCTAGATCTTGCA